ACGCGCTGCGTTCCGCCAGCACCTGGAAACAGTCCGACCTTGACTTCCGGAAGTCCCATCTTCAGGCCTTCGTCAACAATGCGTGCGTGACAGGCCAGAGCCAGTTCCGTACCGCCACCCATGCATGTGCCGCAAACAGCGGCCACAAAGGGTTTGCCGCAGGTTTCAAGCTTTCGATAGACCAGCGTGAGTTTGCGAGAGCCTTCATAAAGTGCCTTGGCAGCGCCTTCAGGATCATTTCCGCGCTTCACGTGGAAGTCTTTCAGAAGACCTTCCATCATTGTCAGATCCGCGCCACCCGAAAAGGCCGCCTTGCCGGATTGAATAATGGCGCCCTTGATTGCGTCGTCTCCTGCAACCTGATCAACGATCGCCTCGAGTTCGTCCATGACCGACAGGTCTATGACGTTCATGGATTTCTGGGGCATGTCCCAGGTGATGAGAGCGATGCCGTCGTCGTCTGTCTCTATCGTGAAATTCTTGTAGCTCATGGGAATATCTCCTCGATTCAGACACCGTTCGAATGCAGATCGTTCGACTGCAAATGGGCGCGCTGCTGCGCGGCCGACCTGGTGCCTTCGGCGACAACATCGCCCGTGTGTTTCGTTTCTGCCGGTTCGAAAAGCATCACCCAGCACTCATTTTCTGCGATCGGATTGTGCTGGATACCCTTGGGTACGACATGGATATCACCGGCGGTGAGAACCGCATTTTCCCTGTCGTGGTAGCGAATGGTCAGGCTGCCCTTCACGATGAAGAACAACTCGTCCTCATCCTCATGGTCGTGCCAGACAAATTCGCCTTTCAGCTTTGCGAGTTTGACACTCTGGTCATTCACATCCGCAACCACGCGCGGCGACCAGTATTCGGTGATCTCTGCGAATTCCGCGTCAATGTTGCTGATCATCACTCAGACCCGTTCAATGATGGTGGCCGTACCCATGCCTGCACCGATGCAAAGCGTGACCAGAGCCGTGTTGAGGTCGCGGCGTTCGAGTTCATCCAGCACGGTGCCAAGGATCATCGCGCCGGTCGCGCCCAGCGGGTGCCCCATGGCAATAGCACCGCCATTGACGTTGACGATGTCCGGATCCAGATCGAACGCCTGCTGATAGCGCAGCACCACGGAGGCGAAGGCTTCGTTGATCTCGATGAGATCCATGTCCTTCATGTCCATCTTGGCGTTTTTCAAGAGTTTCTCGGTGACGTCCACCGGGCCTGTAAGCATGAGCGCGGGTTCAGATCCGATGTTGGCAAATGCCTTGATCCGGGCACGAGGCTTGAGGCCCGAGGATCGGCCGGCCGTGCTGGAGCCGATCAGGACAGCCGCAGCGCCATCTACAATGCCGGAAGAGTTTCCTGCATGGTGCACGTGTTTGACGGCCTCGATTTCCGGATGGGCCTGAATGCCGACTGCATCGAATCCGCCCATGTTGCCCATCAACTCGAAGGAAGGATTGAGTGCGGCGAGAGACTGCATGTCTGTTTCCGGCCGCATGTGTTCGTCCCGGTCGAGAATTGTAATGCCGTTTATGTCCCGGACTGGAATGACAGACTTCGAAAACCGGCCTTCTTCCCAGGATTTGCCGGCACGTTTCTGGCTTTCGACGGCATAGGAATCGCAGTCGTCGCGATTGAAACCGTATTTGGTAGCGATCAGATCCGCCGACACGCCCTGGGGCATAAAATAGGACGGCACGGCCACCTGGGGCTCAATGGGCCAAGCTCCCCCGGAGGCGCCGATGCCGACCCGGCTCATACTCTCCACCCCACCGGCTATAACCAGCTTGTGCTGGCCGGACATGACCTGGGCTGACGCCATATTGACTGCATCGAGGCCAGAGGCGCAGAAGCGGTTGATCTGCATGCCGGGAACGGAGGTAGCGTATCCGGCTGCAAACACTGCGGCGCGGGCGACGTCGCCACCTGCTTCCCCGACCGGGTCGACGCAGCCCAGAACGACGTCGTCAACCTTGGCCGTGTCGAGACCGTTCCTGTCCCGGACTGCCTCCAATGCGGTTGCGGCCAGCCGCACCGACGGCACTTCATGGAGTGCGCCGTCCTTCTTGCCGCGGCCCCGCGGGGTCCGCACGTGATCGAAGATATAGGCTTCAGCCATCTGGTCCTCCTTCGGACGGTTACTTACCTGGCATCCGGCATGGGGTGGCCGGGCATCAGATCATAGGGATGTTTCCAGCCGGGCAGTGCCTTGATCCGCTCAAGCCAGGCAATGACATTGGGGTAGGGTGCAAAATCGGTCCCGATTTCGTCCCGGACATAAAGGTATCCACACAGTGAAAAATCGGCGGTGGTCGGCTTGTCACCGATGGCGAACGCGTGACTTTCAAAGTGCTTTTCAAGAATGGCGAGCGCTCCCTTCAGCCGGCCGTCAAGGAATTTGGTAACGTCGTTTTCACCGGTCTTGACGAGGGTGCGCATGTATCTCAGCGGGCCGGCCACACCCGAAACCTTCTGGTTGTCGAAAATGGTCCAGCGCAGGATTTCGCGGCGCTCATCGTCATCCGCCCCGCCGAACTTGCCAAAAACGTCCGTGAGATAGTCCAGAATGACACCGGACTGTGACAGGGATCGCGAGCCATGAACCAGAACGGGAACTTCTCCCATCTCGTTCACGGTTTTGCGGAATGTATCCGTGCGCGTCTCGCCGCCGAAAAAGTCCACCCATTTGGGTTCCCAGTCGGCGCCGCACAATTCCAGCATAAGGGCCGCCTTGTAAGAGTGGCCTGACTGGGCCATGCAATAAAGAACGTGTTCGGCCATACCTGTTTCATCTCCCTGGCAAATCTTGTCGGCTGAGAGCCTACACCGGCGACTGCGGATTCGCGCGGGTGAAGTTCCGGTCCGGCGAGTCCGGACCGGTCGGTCCTAGAATGCGTCTGCGTCCATAGACATGATCGTTTCCGAGCCAGAGGAAATCCGGGCAAGATGAGCGGCCGTTTCCGGCAGGGTACGCTCCATGAAGAAGGTGCCGAAGGCCAGTTTGTTTTGCAGCCAGTCGGCTTTGTCACCAGCGCCTTCTGCGAGCTGATCCCTGATGGTCTTGGCCATCTTGGCCCACATGTAGCCAAGCGCGACAAGACCGAACAGGTGCATGTAGTCGACAGCGCCCGCGCCCGCATTGTCCGGATTCTTCATGGCATTGTTCATGAACCACATGGTCGCGGCCTGCAGGTCGTCCGCTCCTTTTTTCAACGGGGCCGTGAACGCTGCCAGGTCTTCGTTGTCCTTGTTGTCCTTCAGGAAAGTATTGACTTCGTTGAAGAAACTCATGACGGCTCGGCCGCCGTTCGCCGGTAACTTGCGGCCCACAAGGTCAAGTGCCTGGATGCCGTTCGCCCCTTCATAGATCATGGCGATACGTGCATCGCGCACAAACTGGTCCATGCCCCACTCTGCGATATAGCCGTGACCGCCATACATCTGCTGCGCGTTGACTGCATTGGCGAAACCGGTATCGCTCAGGACGCCTTTGAGCACCGGGGTCATCAAACCCATCATGTCGTCGGAATATTGCCTGTCTTTTTCAGCGTCCGAGCGATGTGAGTTGTCGCCATGAAGCGCGGTCCAGATGACAAGCGCCCGTGCTGCCTCGTTGAAGGCGCGGATGGACATCAGGGTGCGGCGTACATCCGGATGCACGATGATCGGGTCCGCAGCCTTGTCCGGAGCCTTCGGACCCGTCAGCGAGCGGCCCTGCAAGCGGTCTTTTGCATAGGTTACCGCGTTTTGATAGGCGACTTCGGACTGGGACAATCCCTGTACCGCAACTCCGAGGCGGGCTTCGTTCATCATGACGAACATGGCCTTCAGGCCCTTGCTCTCTTCGCCGACGAGCCAGCCGGTGGCCTCGTCATAGTTCATCACGCAGGTCGCGTTGCCGTGAATGCCCATCTTGTGTTCGATCGACCCGCATGAGACGCCGTTGTTGTCGCCCACCGATCCGTCTTCATTGATTGTGTTGCGGGGGACCACGAACAGCGAAATGCCTTTGACACCCTCCGGAGCCCCCTCGATGCGGGCAAGAACAAGATGGATGATGTTGTCCGACATGTCATGTTCGCCGGCCGAGATGAATATCTTGGTTCCGCTGATCTTGTAGGACCCGTCCGCCTGTGACACGGCCTTTGTACGGATCAGGCCGAGATCGGTTCCGCAGTGCGGCTCGGTCAGGTTCATGGTTCCGGTCCAGGTTCCGGCGATCATGTTGGGCAGGTAAGTCTGTTTCTGCTCTTCGGTTCCGTGAATTGTCAGCGCAGCGACGGCTCCGGCAGTCAGGCCCGGATACATGGAAAAGGCCATGTTCGCCGAGGACGCAAATTCGTTGAAAATGGTCGCAAGCGTATGGGGAAGACCCTGGCCACCATGGTCTGGATCCGCAGACAATGTCCCCCATCCGTTTTCACAAAACGCCTTGTAGGCCTCCAGGAAACCTGTTGGCGTCGTCACGGTTCCGTCTTCGTTGCGAGTGCAACCTTCCTGGTCACCGACCTGGTTAAGTGGTTGCAGGACTTCTTCGGCAAACTTCCCGCCTTCGCGCAGGATAGCTTCCACCAGATCGAGTGGTGCATCTGCAAAACCGGGAAGATTGGAATAGCGTTCGTAGCCGAAGACGTCCTTCAACAGGAACAGGGTGTCTTCAACGGGCGCAGTATAGCTTGGCATGCATATCCTCCCAGATCTGCCGGGTGTTGTCAGCTTTACGTTTCCGTAAACGTCAGGTGATGTTTATATACGCGTCTCGATTTCGTCCGGCAAGTGGTGTCCCCACGGAAGGGATGACAAAAAAATGTGCCTAAAACACGTAAATTGGAAGAGTTTTCGGCGGTGACCACGTCAGATTCATGCCGGGATGACTTTTATTTGAAGTTTTTCAGGGTCTCGGCTGCCGTGAAGGTGTCGACCTGACCGGATAGCCGTCGGCATGCAAACAAAAAACCGCCGGCCAGTTTGGCCGGCGGCGTCAATGAAGTGTCGGTTTTTCAGGCTTCTTCTGCTTCCTTGTGCTTCAGCATTCCTGAGACAATTTCCACGGTGCGCGACAATTCCTCGATTGCCTGTTCGATGTCTTTTCGCTGGTCTTCCAGAACCGCAATCTGCTCATTGAACTTGGACAGGGCGACACGCAGTTGGGTTACCTGGCCATCCCGCAGGTCATAAAGGTCGAGCATGTCGCGGATTTCCGTCAGAGAGAACCCGACTCGTTTGCCCATCAGGACAAGTTTCAGCCGCGCTCGGTCCCTTCTGTTGTAGATCCGGTTCATGCCGTCACGTTTCGGGTTCAATAGGCCCTTGTCTTCATAGAACCTCAAGGTCCGCAAAGTGCAGCTGAATTCCTTGGCAAGGTCCCCGATTGTGAACTGGGTTTTCTTGGTGCTGTCATCGGACGCGGAGACCACGTCGACAAGATCGTCTTCGTTGAGGATGGAAAGCGCTTCGCTCATGGCTATTGATACTCTATTTCCCGCCGTTAACCGGCTCATTGTTGGGTTTTTTGGTTCTCGCGGACCGGTGTTGAAGGTCTCGTGACTTGCCTCTGCACGCCGCTGTGCATACCGCAAGACAATCGCCAGCCGGTTTCCTGACAATTGTTTAGCTTACGTTTGCGTAAAGGTCCAGTGCGGTCGAAACGAAGTAAAAAAAGCGTTAACGAATGCGTCTGCAATTTGTATCTGCAAGAAGATATGAACAGGCCATTTTACTCGAAAAAGGTTGATTTTCGCATTTAGCAACACCGGTTAACGACCTGTTTACCCTAAGTCGACAAAGTCTATCAAAACGCTGCAACTGGTCCGTTCTTTGGCGGAAGATAGGGGCAGCCCGCTAAATCAGCGGTCTGAATGACCGTCAGTCCAGGGTCTAGATATGCCGGCATGGAAGAAACACGAGGCAGGACGCCGCGGCCGTGATGCGTATGAAAGCGACGGTTTCTATGAAACGACCGGAAGGGAACCGGCGCGCGAACGCATCGAACGGTTGACGCGTACTGCGACGTCCCTGGGAAACGGCTACGATACGCGCGCCAGGGAGGGTCGTGATGATGACCTCAATGCTGTCGCGGACGAACTGGACAGGATGTTGTCGGAGCGCGGAAGTGTCGGAGCTGGCCGGACAGCATCCGTCCGGCCGCAGCGCAGTGCATCGCCGCCGAGAACGCCTTCACGCAGTCCTGGCATGGATGACGTTCTTGGAGCGCTGGACCGGCTTGACGAACAGGTACAGGGATTGGCGAACGCGTCCGATACGCACGAAGTCGGATTGTCTGCGCCCTCCCGCCCATACCCACAGCCGGGGCGTTACGCAATGGATACACTGCACGAAAACGACCAGAGCATTGGGTCACAAGTGTCCTTCGGAAGCGAGCGCGCGGGAGGCTATGAGGAACAATACGGTCTTGACCCGCATTCGGCCCGCGACCGGGGCCAATATGGGCATAACGATGCATCGCTCCATATCTACAAGGACCTGGGACGGCGGATAGACGCATTGAGAGCCCCGCATGAAAAGGCTCTCAATCAGGTTCGCGAAGAGCTGGGGTCGCTGCGCGCTGCTCTCGGGGGCATTACCAAAGGCACCAGCGAAACCGTGGGGCGCCAGAATTCCGAGCTGCGCCGGCTCGCCGACATGGTTGATCGGCTGCGTGTCGACAAACGCGGCGAACAGTTTACCAACGAAATCCGCAAGGAAGTCGCCGACCTGAAGACCATGGTCGGCCGCACGAATGTGGAAGGTGCGCTGCAGACGCTTGAGCACGGCTATTCTCATATCCTTCAGCGGCTGGATGAGCTTTCCCGGGCCTCCCTGGATCCGCGTGTTCTCAATAGCGTGACCGCAAGATTGAACGAGATCGAGGAAGCCTTTGCAGCTCTTCCGCGTTCCGAGCACATGGTGGTTCTTGAAGATCGGGTCGTCACCATTGCCGAGCGTATGGAAGAACTGCTGCAGCGCAAGGAACAGGTGGAAATTGAACCGCTTCGGGCCGAATTGCGCGAAGTTCGGGGCTATGTCGAGCAGATTGATGTCAAGGGTCTCGTCGAGGGTATCGACGATCGCATGAAGTTCGTTTCCGGTCGACTGGATGACATTGAGGTTCTTGCGCGTGAGCAGCGCGGCATGGATGTGCGATTGTCGGCGATGGAAGAGCGCATCCCGGAACCGGAGACAATTGCTCGCCTGCAGGGACGTCTGGAAGATATTGCCGGCATGATGGCGGATGATCGGGCAAGTTCCGGTGATCAAGAGCACATGTCACAGGTGGACCAGCGGCTGGACGAGATCGTTGACCGGCTGGAGAGAATGGAGCAGGCAGGTCCGTTGCCTGCGACCGACAGCACGGCCTTTGAGGCACTTGAGAAGCGCCTCGAGAGCATTTCGGGCAAGATTGACTCCATCGAACAGAAATCATCCAAGCCTGTTTCGATGTTGGAAACTGCTGCGATGAAGGCCGCGCCAGGGGCTGACGCAAAGTTTCTCTCTCAACTGCAGGAAAGACTTAATCACCTGTCCGAGCGGCTCGACGAGCCGAAGGACACGGTAACGTCCTCTGATCTTGACAAGTTGCGTGAGGAAATAGGGTCGATGCGCGCGAGCGTCGCCGCGCCCTCATCAACCGAATCTCTGGAAGCGCGGATCTCCGATCTTGCACAGCTTGTCTCCAGGGGAGCGGAATCCACGGACGACAACCGGTTCGAGCAATTGGGTGAAAAGGTTGCCGCGCTGGCGGAACAGATCGCAAGCAACCCCGCACCGGTATCGGGCCTGGAACAGGTCTCGCCGGCCCTTGAAAGGATAGAAAGCGGCCTGGCACAAACCAAGGTGGACGTCACGGAAATTGCCAGGAAGGCGGCGTTCGACGCGGTCGCGAACGCGCCAAATCAGTATGTCGCCCAGTATGACGATGCGATTTCCGCCCTGCAGGGGGACTTAAAGCGGCTCCTCGATGCTGCCGAAGGCAGTGAGGAGCGAACCCGCAACACTTTTGACAGCGTGAAATCGGTTCTCGGGTCGCTGACTGAACGCCTGGACAGTCTGGAACGGGCAGAAATCACCGCACCGGCCGCGTCGGCAATGCCCTATTCCGCAGTGGCTGCCGCACCCATTGCCGGTGAGGAGCCATCACTTCAGTTCACGCCTGTTACCCAGCGGGTACAGGAACCTGTGCAATATGTAGCGGCAACCGCGGAGACCAGGACAACTCACCCGGAGGATAAGACCAGGGACCGCAAGGCCGATTTCATTGCGGCAGCACGAAGAGCTGCGCAGGCGGCATCTGCGGAGGCCGCGAAACTCGATCAGGCGCGGGCGCCTCACGAAGACCAGGAAGCAGCTGACGAAGAGCGCGGCAAGGAGCGTGTCGGCTGGTTGCGCAATGTCCTGAAACGCGGCAAGCCTTCACGCGATGAAACTGACGGGCACGAAGCTGCCGACGAACTGGAGCTTGGCAGCGAAGACCTCGCCGAAGACAACATGGAAGCGCAGGATGCACCGGTCCTGCCGGGTGATCGTCCGGCTCCTGAGGCTGCCCCGTCGTCAGGCGGAAGCCGCCGCAAAGCCATCATGCTGGCTGCTGTGGCAGTTGTACTGACGCTTGGAACTTTGACGGCCTACAGGTTTATGGCGAGTGCGCCCGAAGGCGAGAACCTTGCCTCGACAGAGCAGGAAACAGCGACACCGGCCGGGGTACTTTCGGAAAAAGTCGAACCTGTTGTGGAGACCGAGCCTTCGGCAAACGTCGCTGGCCTCGACAACGGCCAAGAGGCGGCAAATACGGTTGCAGAAGCCCCGGGACCGGTGGAAAGCGCAGTTGAGATTGCTGAACCTGTAGCACCGAAAGTGCAACCGGAACAGGTTGCGGAGGTCGTGGAGGCTGATCCGATACCCCGGACCGACCCGATTGCGGCCACTTCGAATGTACAGTCGGCTTCTGTATCGAACACGGTCACTCCGGAGGCGGAAGTCGCATTCGCACCTCCGGCCAATGTCGACAACGGCTTCAAGGAAAAAGTCCTTGACGACACCACGGCATTTTCACCTGCAACCCCCTCTTCGTCGACCGAAAACGGCGCATCCGCGCTCATCGCCAATCTTCCGCCGGAAGGCGTCGGTCCCATGGCATTGCGCAGCGCCGCTGCGGGAGGAAATCCGGCCGCGGAATTCCTGGTTGGCGTCAAATATACCGAAGGCAAGGACGTCCCCGCCGATCTTTCCAAGGCAGCGGTCTGGTACCAGAAAGCGGCCAACAAGGGCTTGCCGCCTGCGCAGTATCGTCTTGCCAGCCTCTATGAAAAAGGCAGGGGTGTGGAAAAGGACGTTGCCAAGGCGAAAGCCTGGTATTCACTGGCAGCGCAGGCCGGCAACGCCAAGGCGATGCACAATCTTGCGGTCCTTTATGCTGAGGGAGGTGGGGAAGAGCCGGATTACGGCAAGGCCGCTACATGGTTTGAGGCGGCAGCCAACTACGGCGTCAAGGACAGCCTGTTCAATCTCGGTATCCTCTACGCCGGCGGTATCGGTGTGGATAAGGACCTTGTGGCCAGCTACAAATGGTTTGCGATTGCAGCTGACAAAGGCGACCCGGAGGCGGCCAAGCGCCGCGACGACGTCGCCAACATGATGGATCAGCAGACACTGGCAAATGCCCGCCTCGCAGTGGAAAGTTTCGCATTGACGGAAGCCGATCCTGCTGCAAACAAGGTCACGCTCGAACCGTCCTGGGCCGAGGAGGCGTCGCTGCCTGCAGCAAACGTATCGTCAATCGCACCTGCCGCCGACACGGACATGATCCGCGAGGCGCAAGACAAGCTGAATTACCTGGGTTTCGATACGGGAACTCCGGACGGTCAGATGGGTCCACGCACCCGCAGCGCGATCGAGGCGTTTCAACGCAGCACCGGCATGCCGGAGACAGGTTTGGTCGACAGTAAGCTGATCGAAGAGCTTAAGAGCCAGGCAATCTGACCAAAAGTCGTTTTTGCAAAGAGAAGTGACGTGCTTGCTGGTTGACACTTTGGCAGGCACGGGTTTTTAACCAGTCCAGTTTAACTTTGTCGCAGTCCTATCTGCAGTCTGTCCGGCGTAACCCAGTGCAACTATACCTGCCCATAGCCGAAATTCCGGTGAATATCTTCGTGATCTTCGCCATGGGTGGTGCTGTGGGTTTCCTTTCCGGGTTGTTCGGTATCGGCGGCGGGTTTCTGCTGACACCACTTCTGATTTTTTCCGGTATTCCGCCCGCGGTCTCGGTTGCCACCGTCACGACGCAGGTTGTGGCCTCGTCGGCATCGGCGGTCATGACCTACTGGCGACGCAAGGCCATCGATCTGAAGCTCGCCACCATCCTTCTGGCAGGGGGGGTCTTCGGGTCGCTTATTGGCGTGATCCTGTTCGACGTGTTGCAGTCCGTCGGACAGCTCGATCTGGTCATCTCGCTCTCCTACGTCACGTTTTTGAGCGCGATCGGCGGCCTGATGCTGTTTGAGTCCATACGGGCGATACGGCGCAGAAAGTCGGGTGCTGCACCATCTGCACGAAAGCCGGGCCAGCACAACTGGATCCACGGTTTGCCGTTGAAGGTGCGTTTCCGCCGGTCAAAGCTCTATGTCAGCGTTATTCCTGTGGTTGGTCTTGGCGCCATAATCGGTTTCCTAGGTACGATCCTGGGTATCGGTGGTGGCTTCATGATGGTTCCAGCGCTGATCTACCTTCTGCGGGTGCCGACAAATATCGTGATCGGCACCTCGCTGTTCCAGATCCTCTTCACCATGGCTGCGGCGACCATTTTTCACTCGATGGGGACAAAGACCGTCGACATTGTTCTCGCGATGACGCTGATGATCGGCGGTGTCATCGGCGCGCAATTCGGTGCAAGAATGGGTCAGAACCTGCGCGGCGACCAGTTGCGTCTTCTACTGGCATTGCTGGTTATGGGCGTCGGATTGCGCTTCGCGGTCGACCTCCTGCTGGTCCCCGAGGACTTCTACTCGATCGCAATTCGCAAGGGGGCGGGCGCATGATCCGGTTTGCTCTCTGTCTTGCCTTTGCCGTCTTCGGAGCGTCACTCTCGCTCGCGCAGGAAGAGGCCTCTTCCAAGGATCTGGTCACGGCGCTTTCCTCCGACACGGTCTCGATCCAGTCGAACTTCACCGGCACCGAAATTGTCATTTTCGGTCAGGCCAGCGACATAGAAAGAGCACCGCACGCCGCCGGCGATTTTGAGCTCGCGATTGTCGTCGAGGGACCGCCGCAGGACATCACGACGCGGCGCAAGGGTCGCTTTCTGGGTGTCTGGGTCAACCGCGAGGCGGAACGGTTTCAGAATGTACCGTCTTTTTATGCGGTTGCGAGCACGGCAGATATCGGCGACATCGCTCACCGGAACGTGCTGGACGAATACCGCATAGGGCTCAATCACCTAAATCTGGCAGTCTCCGGGGTTTCCAACGTTCCGCTGTCGGACCGCGATGATTTTCGCAAGGCCTTTGTAAGGCTTCGCGAGGAATCGGATCTTTATTCGGAGCGGGAAACCTCGATCGAGTTTCTGACGGATACGATGTTCCGCACCAATATTCCCCTCCCGGCAAACATCCCTGTCGGCGACTACAAGATCAAGAGCTTCCTGTTCAACCGGGGGGATCTGGTTTCACAGACCGAGCAGACACTGGCAGTCGCAAAGATCGGTTTCGAACAGGTAACGTTTGAACTCGCCCAGAACTATCCGCTGGTCTACGGTGTTCTCGCGGTGATCCTGGCGATATTCACTGGCTGGCTTGCAGGCGTCATCTTCAAGAAAGACTGATGAATTTCCGGGTGTTCCGGTAATAGTGAGGACTGTTTGGGCTCTGACGGGTGCCTGAGGTCGTGCCTCATATTCCTCTGGCACTCCCGCGTCCTGCCGCTATTCTTCCGCGAAGGAAATTACCGGGAATCACAAGGTGGGGCACCATGACCGATCAGTCTTCATCCGAACCAACTGCCGAAGGAACCGCCAAACGGGAAACGACGCTAGACGCCAGGGTGATCGATGTTGCCATTCGTCTCGGTGTATTGGGATTGTTTGCCTATTTCTCACTGCAACTGATCGCGCCGTTTTTTCTGTTCCTGCTCTGGGCCGTCGTGCTTACGGTCGCGCTCTATCCGGCCTATGGCTGGCTTGCGGCCAGGCTTGGCGGCCGAAAGGTACTGTCCGCAATCCTGATCACGCTGGTGTGCCTGGCCATTGTGATCGGCCCCGTTGCGGTACTGGTGGTAAGCCTCGTTGAGACGCTGCAGTTCTGGTTACACGGGATAACAGGCGACGGCCTGAAACTGCCACCATTACCCCAAAAGCTGGCAGAGCTTCCGATAGTCGGCGACCGGGTGTCCGAATTGTGGGGCCTTGCCAGTCGAAGTCTTGAACTGTTCTTCGAGAAGATCGGTCCGATGGTCGTGCCGGCAGGTGGTCGTATCCTGTCCATGCTCGCCTCGCTGAGCGGCAGTGTCCTGTTCTTCATCGTTTCGATCATCCTTGCAGGCTGCCTGTTTGTTCCCGGACCCGGTCTCGCGCAAGGAGCCAAACGCTTTGCCGATCGTATCATCGCTCCGCGCGGTGCTGAGTTTGTTGATCTTGCAGGCGCCACGATCCGCAACGTTTCGCGGGGAGTGATCGGCGTTGCGGTCATTCAGGGACTTCTGACGGGTGTCTTGCTGATCGTGTTCAGCGTTCCTCTTGCCGGCGTTCTGACATTCGCCGCACTGATCCTGTGCATCATTCAGATTGGGCCGGCACTGGTGATCATTCCGACCATAATCTGGGCCTGGAGTTCCTGGGACCTGGTCCCCGCGCTCGCCTTCACGGTCCTCATGGTACCCGTCATGCTCGTGGACAACGTGTTGCGGCCGATCCTGATGTCGCGTGGCCTGGATGTTCCCATGCTGATCATTCTGATCGGTGTGCTCGGCGGCACCATCGCTCACGGTCTTCTCGGTCTTTTCCTGGGTCCGGTTGTCCTCGCGGTGTTTTATGAGCTGGTCATCGCCTGGGTGAAAGCTGGAGAGGACGGCTGAAAGAGGCGAAAAAATCGCGCAACAGGTTTTGTTTCCAGACGCCAATGTTCCCTGACCCGGAGCAGAAGTCGCGCGCGTGATCGGGCCAAGCCGTATGCGTCGAGGGGTGAACTTGCACGCCGAACTGCCCTGTTCGGGGGCCGGTTGCAAATGAAGATCAAATCACCACCTGTTCACGATGCAGGAATTCCGTGCGAGGAAACAGCATCAGACGAGGCTATGGAAACGCTTGAGTGTGAACAAAAAACTTGACCGGCTCATGTGGATGGAACGAGCGAAAAACGCGCTGATATTCCTGGTAATCGGAGTGCCGGTCGCCATCGTGATCAGTCTCCTCATGGTCTCGATGAGCGGCGTAAACAACTTTACCGAAGAGCAGGTTACCGGCGTATTGCATCACTACAATCTTGCCCCACGAGACGATGGCTCGGTTCAGAAGATTTTGCACGTGCAATTGGAAGACGGAACTATTGTTACGGCGCGCACATCAAACAATGGAACAGTTGGCGTCGGCGAACCGGTGGAACTCGTCAAGCGAACCAGAACGAGAGGGGCCACCAGCTACCACTTGCCAATTCCGAGTTCGTCAACCGACTAATGCCAGCTGGTTACCGCTCTGTCTCGAGAATAAAAAACATCGATCAATCCCCCACCAACCGGCTTGCCGTGAACGGAAAGAGACGGTCATTCCCTAGCAGGAAGACCGAGAATTGCCGGCGATTGAAGAGTGTCGCGTAGGCGCGGTCGGTCACATTGAGCCCGCCGGTCAGGGCGCCGAACGCGGGCAAGACGAGACGGGTACCGTCGGTGATGAAACAGGAGCGCCGGATCGACCGGCCGAAGCGCCTGACGCGGGCGACGGGATGCAGGTGGCCGCAAATCTCGCCGGCTGCGCGCTCGACACCGATTTCCTCAACCGGTTCGTGGCGGAATTTCAACGGGCCGACGGTAATTTCGTCAACCGTTTCGCCGCAAAGCCGCACAGGGGCGACCGGATCGTGGTTGCCGGTCACCCAGATCCATTCCCGGCCCAACTGCAGGGTGGTCAGCATGGCGCGATAGGGAGCCGGCAGCCTGTCGGATCCGTCAGCATCATGGAAACTGTCGCCGAGACAGATGACACAGGCCGGATCGAAGGCGTCCATCACGCCAGCGAGCTTTTCCAGAGTCGCTCCCGTATCATAGGGCGGGAGCATGACACCGCGTCTGGCATAGCTGGAGCCTTTTTCCAGGTGAAGATCGGCAACGACCAGCAGGGACTCGTCAGGCCACCAGAGAATGCCGCTGTCGTGCAGACCCACCAGTTGGCCGTTGATCTGAATGTCATGGCACACCGGCGCGGTCTGATAATTGCGCACATGTGATGTCAGAACATTCATTCCATAGCCTCCAGAACAAGATCCTCTGCCGCCTCTTCCAAAAGGGAATCCATGGCTTCACCATAGATTGGTTCTTTGCCTATTTCCAAAAGGATAGGCACGGCAAGGGGCGAGACGCGTGTGAGCTGAGTATGTGCGATTCGCCCCCGAATGCGGGCAAGAAGTTCACCAAGACGAGAGATATCCAGAAGTCCCTCGGCCGCGTCGCTCCATGTCGCCTTGAGCAGAATGTGATCCGGTTCGTGCGCCCTGAGAACGTCGTAGATGAGGTCGGAGGAAACCGTGACCTGACGACCGGTCTTTTCCTGGCCCGGGTGCCGGCGTTCGATCAGGCCTGCGATCACGGCGCAATTGCGGAAGGTACGCTTCATCAGGCTGGAGTCCGCCAGCCAGGCATCAAGATCGTCACCGAGGATATCCTCCTCGAAGAGTTCATCCAGTGAAATGCGGCCTGACGAAAACAGCAGGGAGAGGTCGCAAAGACCCCAGACCGACAGAGCATAGTCGTTGGCGACAAATCCCATCGGGCGGGCGCCCATCCGCTCCAGCCGCTTCGTCAGCAACATGCCGAGCGTCTGGTGCGCCAGGCGCCCTTCGAAGGGATAACAGACCATGTAGTGCTTGTTCGAGCGAGGGAAGGTCTCGACCAGCAGTCCGTCCCGCGTCGGCAGGACGGATTTGTCCCTCTGGATTTCCAGCCACTCCCGAACCTGTCCCGGCAACTGGTCCCAGCTCGACGGATTTGCCAGCATCGCCCGAACTCCCTCCGCCAGATAAGTGGAGAGCGGAAACTTGCCGCCCATGTAGGACGGTATCATCGGGTTTTCGGTTTTCGCGCGCGAAACATAGGCTTCATTCTCGCGGATTGCCTCAAAGCGCACGACTTCGCCGCTGAACAGGAACGTATCGCCGGGAACCATCTGGTCGATGAAGTATTCTTCGATCTCGCCAAGTATCCGCCCGCCGCGCCCCACCGGTGTCCGTCGGCCATCCGCCTTCGAGCGCACAAGCCTGACCTTGATTTTGGGAGCTTCGACGATCGTGCCGACATTCAGCCGGTATTGCTGGGCGATTTTCGGGTTGGCAATCCGCCAGAACCCGTCGTTTCCCTTGCGAAGCTTGGCATACTGGTCGTAGCTCTTTAGCGCATATCCCCCCGTTGCGGCGAAGTCGATGACGCGCTCGAACGTTTCCCAGTCCAGTGTGCGATATGTCTCGGACGATCGGATTTCCTCATAGGTCGCGGCAAGATCCAGTGCGTCGGCACAGGCAAGGCCGAGAACATGCTGTGCCAGCACATCAAGAGCGCCCTTGCGAAGTGGTGGAGTGTCCTGATCGCCGCGCCTGGATGCTGCAAGCGCCGCCTGGCATTCGAGGACTTCGAAGCGGTTGGACGGCACAAGCACCGCCTTTGACGGTTCATCCATCCGGTGATTGGCCCGCCCGATCCGCTGCGCAAGACGGCTTGCGCCCTTCGGTGCGCCGATATTGACGACAAGATCGATGTCGCCCCAGTCGATACCCATGTCGAGCGATGAAGTCGCAACGACGGCCCGCAGGGCTCCGGATGCCATCGCAGCTTCCACCTTGCGCCGCTGACCGACGTCCAGTGAGCCATGGTGAAGAGCGATCGGCAGTGTATCGTCGTTGATACGCCAGAGTTCCTGGAAGACCATTTCCGCCTGGCTTCTTGTATTCACGAAGAGCAACGAGACATTATGTGCCTTGATCAATCGGTAGATGTCGCCGATCGCGTAGCGTGAGGAGTGGCCGGACCACGGAAGACGTTCCTGCGATTCCAGTATCGATATGTCGGGTCGGGCTCCTCCCGAAACTTCTACAACATGCGACAGAGCTCTTTTGTTCGCATCCGGCTGGTCGACCAGATAGGCGCGCAGATCATCCGGTTCAGCCACCGTCGCCGAAAGGCCAATGGTGCGAACACCGGGTGCCAGACGGCGCAACCGCGCCAGACCGAGGGCGAGCAGGTCACCGCGTTTGGACGTGACGAGCGCGTGGAGCTCATCCAGGATGACCGTTTTCAAGGAGGCAAACAATCTGTCGGACGCCGGATCGGAAAGAAGCAGGGCGATCTGTTCCGGTGTGGTCAACAGGATGTCCGGTGGATTGAGTTTCTGACGCTGCCGTTTGTGGGAGGGTGTGTCGCCGGTGCGCGTCTCAAGTCGAACGGGCAGGCCCATCTCCGAAACGGGTGCCTCGAGATTGCGGGCAATATCGACCGCCAGGGCTTTCAACGGGGAGACGTAAAGCGTGTGTATGCCGTATCCAGGCTGTCCGGGTTTGCGTTTTCCCCGCCTTTCAAGTTCCACAAGGCTCGGAAGAAATCCGGCCAGTGTCTTGCCTGCACCTGTCGGCGCGATCAGGAGCGTGGAATGGCCCAGCGTCAGGTGATCGATCAGCTGCAGCTGGTGCGGCCGCGGGGCCCAGCCTCGTGAGGCAAACCAGGATTGAAACCGATTGGGTAGCAGCGCAGCGTCCATCAAACGGTTTTAGGCCAGACATTGTGAAAAGGCGAGGGGATCAGGCTGATTTTGTTCACTTTGTGTTCTGGTGGGTGGCCGAATGATGAAAAGGCTCTTGAATGTCGCACCTGATCAGGAATTAAATCTCCGGATGTCCGATCCACTGACAATCACCCCCGAAGGTCTTTATTCTCCTGCAGCGCGAGCTCACATCGACCCCGTCCGGCCGGTCGAAAGAGCCGTCGTCACCCACGGTCACGCGGATCACGCGAGGGCAGGCCATGGAGCTGTTCTGGCGACGCGGCAGACACTCGATATCATGACGATCCGCTACGGTGAGAATTTCTGCGGCACAGCCCAGGCTGTCGACTTCGGCGAGACCCTCCGGGTCGGAGACGTCGACGTTTCGCTCCATCCCGCGGGCCATGTGCTGGGGTCGGCGCAGGTCCTGTTGCAGACCGGCGTACAGAGGGTCGTTATCTCCGGCGACTACAAGCGCCAGAGCGATCCGACCTGCGCTCCATTCGAACCGGTTCCTTGCGATACGTTCGTGACGGAGGCGACCTTCGGGTTACCCGTTTTCCGCCATCCGCCAGCACGACACGAGATTGCGAAACTGTTGTCCTCGCTCGATCTTTTTCCCGAGCAGACTCATCTGGTTGGCGCCTATGCACTGGGAAAGGCGCAACGCGTAATCGCGGAGATCAGGGCCGCCGGTTATGGCAAGGTGATTTACCTCCATGGCGCTCTGGAAAGGCTGACGGACTACTACCAGGCACAGGGGATAGATCTGGGTCTGCTTGAACCGGTTGGAAAACGCGGCAAGGAGCTTCAGGGAGAGATCATTATCTGCCCGCCGGGGCAGTTGAGTGATCGCTGGGCGCGGCGATTTGGCGATCCTGTCGCCGCGATGGCATCCGGATGGATGCGAGTACGTGCCAGGGCGCGTCAACGTGGAGCAGAATTGCCGCTCATCATATCTGATCACGCCGATTGGGATGACCTTTGCCGAACGATTCTGGAAACAGGGGCAGAGCAGATCTGGGTCACTCACGGCGCCGAGGAAGCTCTCGTGCACTGGTGCGAGTTGAACGGACGAAAGGCCCGGCCTCTCAATATGATCGGCTATGACGATGGCGAGGATACCGACGATGTGCATGCCACAGAATCGTGAAGGTCGCGCAACGCCTGCTCCGCGCAGTCGGCTCGATGGTCATGACCGAGCGGATGAACCTCGGCATCGGTCCTGCCGGCCTCGCGACCGTCTCATGTTCTCATTATCGGCGGAGTGGCATAACGCGGGATAGCGTCAGTTTCCGCACCTGGTGCTTTTTATCACGCGCTGTTTCTAGAGAGGTTTGACTAATCCTCTTTCCACCAGATGTCCGGCAGAACTACGTCTGGATTTTCGGGGATGTTTTTTTCATCGAGAGGATGCGGAAACACGAGTTCTCTTGTCGGGCTCGAAGCATCTACCCGGTCCTTGCGCAGGAATGTAACTTCAAAGACCTTTGGAACGTGAATTCCGTTCCGTTCCACCAAACCCTTGCAGTTGTTGGGATGAATGTGAACGACAACGAATTCGCGGGTGATCTTTTCCATCAGAGCTTTCATTAGCCGCAGGGTGTAACTCTCAAAGAGCATCTGCAACGTATGAAATTCGATAACCATGATCCTGAAGCGTTTCAGGGTCTCGATGGACGTATCAATGAGGACGTCGTACTCAAAGCCTTCTATGTCCATTTGCAGCAAAAGATCCTGACCGGAAATTTGCTCTTCCTTCGAATTCAGCCAACTTTCCAGCCGGATGAAATCTCCTTCGTCCCGACTTCCCAGAAACTTCTTCTCAAACGAAAAGAACTCGTTGAGCACCGGCGGGTTTTCGACACTGGCATCCGCCAGAAACGATTTTATCGAATACCTGGACGCCAGTTCCTCTTCAAAACTCGCCTTTACCGAGACACCGGGTGAAAAGCAAAAACCTATGCCCTGGAAGTCATCTGGAACCAGATAACCGCCATCGCCTTCTTCTCCTATTCTTACAAGTTCATGTGAAGTAGGTTTTGGTCTAAGCATCTTGATGAATTCAACAAGGTCATCTGGTTCGCTGACTCTGGATCGCGGGCGCTTGTCTTCGTATAGAAATTTCGAAATGCTTTTGCGCAATCCCATTTTTTCTTCCTTGATTGAATGCTGTCGATCTTTGCCGTCGAAGCCCGGGTTGCTTCAAAAAAGTTGCAGTGCAACCAAACAGGTTGGCCGCGATGGCATTTTGTCCTCTTTGAACACCATCGTGAAGCCTTGCGCTCGGCAACCGGCATTCGATTGTCCGTTGAACCAGATTTACTTCTGTTGCCCTACACTCAGAACGCGGTTTTGGCTAGTGCCCTCGCTGTTGCCAGCTTTCTCAACCGCCTTTGCCGGCGCGAAGGTCGTGGTCTCGGTTATCCGGTGACCAGGCTATTCTCGAATTGGGCGCAGGGTAGATCTTTGTGACGAACGACACTGGGGACGCGCGTTTGCTCCGGCGCGAATTGAATGGACGAAACGCTCAAGCACTCAATATGATAGGCTATGACGATGGTGAGGATGCGGGCAACACACAGGTCCAGGGGCGTAAGACTACCTGTGTGCTTGTGCCCATCCTCTGGGGAGGCGGTCATGACGGACAATGGTGGATTTGAGAAGGCCGGAAACGGCCAGACGAACGGATCGGGGACGAGCGCGAACGGCGATGCCGAAGAGGCGATTGCGCAGCTTTTCGACGACTACCAGGCCGGCTTCGACGACTACGATATTGAACGTATCTGCGATTGCTTTGCCCTGCCGGTGATTATCTGGCAGCACGAGAAGGGTCATGTTTTTGCAAATGACGACGAACTGATCGAGAACATCGAAGCCCTTCTGAAAGCGCTCGAGAAGGAAGGGATCGCGCACTCGGAATTTCAGGTCGTATCGAGCCACGTCAGCGGATCGGCCGCTCTCGTGACGCTCGACTGGTCGCAGGAAAGTGCTGATGGTGAAGCCGTGTTTGAGTTCACGTGCCACTATCAACTGATCCAGCAGGGGCCTGACTGGGTGATCACCTGTATCATCAACGAATGATCGCCGCTGTATAGGGCCATAGTCTCAGGCAAGCAGAGCCTCGCAAAATGGGTAAGTGGTCATCCGCTCGGCCCCCGTCTCGGTGATCAGGTACTGGTCCTCCAGTTTGACACCTTCGCTTTCCGCTTCCGCGCCGATGTAGCTTTCAATGCAGATCACCATGCCAGGCTCGAAGCAACCTTCGAATACATAAGGAACGCCATCAAAATAATGCGGCACATAGGGGAATTCGCCACATAGTCCGAGGCCGTGACCGAGACAATAATACCCATGGCCGCGATACTCGGCCGGAATAGGCCAGGCGGCACGCGCAAATTCTTCGTAGGAGATACCGGGTCCGAGGAGCATCGCATTGTGGTGCAACTGGTCATGGGCGAGCCTGTAGAGATCCTTTTGTCTCGGGCTGGCCGCACGGTCACCACACAGGAACGTTCGCGAAAAGTCCACGGCATAGTGCAGATAGCCCAGGGCATCGGTATCAAAACACACCAGATCCCCGGATTGCATACGCCGCGGGCCTGCTTCCTGAAAGTAAGGGAACGTTCTGCTGCCGGATTGAAATAGCCGGGTCGAGACGTATTCGCCTTCTGTCGCAATCAGGTGGCGGTGAAATTCGGACCACACTTCAACTTCGCTGGCATCGGGCCTGATAGCCGCTTCAAGGGAGCGTGCTGCAGCCTCCACGCGGCTGACGGCCTCGCGCATGACTGAAATTTCCAAAGGCTGCTTGATGAGACGCGCAGTCGAAAAAACATCGGTCGCATCTTCCAGTTCAAGCCCGTCCTCGCGCAACGCATCAATGACCGGTAGATCGAAACCTTCTATCGCAAGCCGGGTTTCCACACCCAATGCGGATCTGAGGTCGCGAACCAAACGGGTGATCTCGGAGCGGTATCCGGCACCGGAAATGGCGGAGATCCCCGGAGCCGCACGGATGTCTGTTGCAACCGGATTGCCCGTTTGCAGATGTTCGCAGCCTGCGAATTCCCAAAGAACGACTTTTCCCGATGCCAATATGAGGGCAAACCGGAATGGACCCATGAGGCTGAACACAGTCATGTTCCGAGCACCGGTCGCGTAGAGAATATTGATCGGGTTGGCCGTCAGCACTGCGGGAACAGCACGTTCGGTCATGACCGAAACAAGACGCTTGTGGGTTTCTCTGATCAGACGATCGCGTTCAATTTCCAAGACCGGACGTCCCGTAGTGTTCTTGAGGCGCAGACGGAGGCAGGATGGACGACTTTGAACTCAGTCGGATTTGGCTGCTTCGATCCATTTTCCGAACGAGAATAGAAACCTTGAACGCTATTGCAAGTCGATGTGTGGTCGCCGCGAGCGCAAGGCAGAGGTGGCATGCTCGCGTTCCGCTGCCAGTCGCAAAGGGTCCTGTTTTGCGTGAGCGTGCGCGGAATACGGCTTTCGGTACATCGAAACGGCAATCGGCTTCGGTTCAATCGCGCGACGTGGATCGATGTAGGGCACAGGTCTTTCCAAAACGGCAAAATGATGCGTCAATGACGGGAAAGCCGTATTGTGAATGCTTTTTGATTGGCCTTTTGAAAATCAATTTGTCTAATTGGCAGCAACAGTTTCGGCGACCTGTATATCCGGCCACAAGATCCGGAAAGTGAAAACCAGTGGAGGTTACCCTGTGATTTTCAGGCAATTGTTCGACAAGACCTCATGCACATACACCTATCTGATGGCGAGCAGAAGTGGCGGTGAGGCGCTCCTGATTGATCCGGTCCTTGAACAGACCGGCCGTTATCTGAAACTTCTTGAAGAACTCGATCTGAAACTCGTCAAGGTGATCGACACGCATATTCACGCCGATCATGTCAGCGCCATGGGAAAACTCAGGGACGCTACGCGTTGCGTGACCGTCATGGGTGAACAGTCTCCGACGGAAGTCGTTTCCATGCGGGTCGGCGACAACGAGAAACTGACCATTGAAGGGTTGACGCTTAGAGCGCTTCACACACCCGGCCACACGAGCGAGAGCTACAGTTTCCTGATGGACGACCGCGTCTTTACCGGTGACACCCTCCTGATCAGGGGCACTGGCCGCACAGATTTCCAGAACGGCGACCCGTACGATCAGTACCACTCCTTGTTTGAACGCTTGCTCAAGTTGCCGGAACAGACATTTGTCTACCCTGGGCACGACTACAAGGGTGACACCGTCAGCACCATTGCGGAAGAGAAGGCGTACAATCCTCGCCTCAATGTTTCCTCGGCGGAAGAATACGCCGAGATCATGAACAACCTGAATCTTCCCAATCCGAAGATGATGGACGTCGCGGTTCCCGAGAATTTGAAGCTCGGACTGCGAATGGAAGCTCAACACCGCGTGCCCTCCGTCGAAGTGGACGCGTTGCTTGCGGACTGGCCGAATGTACAGATGCAGCTCGTCGATATCCGTGAGGAGAGCGAGCGCAGACGTGATGGCGCAATCCCGGGATCAATTCATTTGCCCTATGGACGGTTTGCTTCCCACTGTTCGGATTCCGGCACACTTCGCAGCCTCAACAGGAACGCGGACCTTTTGATCTATTGCGCCGTTGGAGAACGTTCGACGCTTGCTGTTGAAATAGCCAATGAATACGATCTGAAGGGACTTGCGCATCTGCCTGGAGGATTTCGCGCCTGGAAAGCCGCAGGTGGCGAGATCGAGGCGATCGACTAACGCCTGGTCTTCGCGTCCGAAAAAAAGACCGATTGCCTTGGCAACCGGTCTGTTTGTTATTTCTGCGCCTTTGACGCCTTCCGCTCTGCACGGGAAGGCTTGTTCTTTTTCGGGGCCTTCTTTTTGGCAGGGGACGTTTTGGCCGCTATCCGTGGTTTCGGCTTGCGCCGCGCATCGGCGTCGCCTTCCTTGGCGCCCTTCCGGTGCGGTTTGCTGTCGCCGCTATCCTGGTCCTTTGAAAGCGCCTTCATGTCAAGCGGCTCATAAGCGGGATGATTGGGAGCGGCATCATCGTCGCGGCGCCGTTTCTTGCCGCGTGGCGCATCGAAATCGCGCTTCGGGCCACGTTTCGGTTTGCCGGAATTGAGGCTGTCTTCCGGTCCGAGTGTCTCGTAGTCTGGTGCATCCGCCTTGCGCGGGCGGCGCTTGGGCGGACCGCCGCGGTCGCGCCGGAACCCGTCGTCCTTGGGTGGTGCGGGGATCTTGCCGCCCCGCGCGTCCAGAAGCGTGATCGTGACGTTTTCCTCGCCTGAACCCTCACGCTTGATAACATCGGAAAAGCGCTTGCCGTGACTGCCTGCGATTTCGAAATACAGCTCGTTCTGGAAGATCTTGATCGCACCGACTTCTTTCTTGGTGACATGGCCCGCGCGGCAGATCATCGGCAGGATCCAGCGTGGCTCTGCCCGTTGCCTGTGACCAAGCGACAGGGAAAACCAGATGCCGTCCTCGAACTTTCCGGTAATTTCCGCGGTTCGGCCACCACGTGATCCGGCGTCCCGTCCCCTGAGCGAAGATTCATCGATCTCCGCAATCTCTTCCGGCGCGGGCATGCGAGACTGTCTCAGCTTGACGAACGCAGCTGCCAGTTGTTCCGCGCTGTGCAGTGCGAGGAGTTCCATCGCCAGTGCACGGTCCTCGTCTTCGAGTTCCACTGACAGCGCAGGGTCGGCAAGAAGCCGTTCCTTGTCGTTTGCGCGGATGGCTTCGGCCGTGGGCGCACCGGTCCAGGTTGCCTTGATCCCCGCAAATTGAAGTACGCGTTCAGCCTGGCGCCGTCTTGGGAACGGCACCATGAGAACACAGGTTCCCTTTCGTCCTGCGCGGCCGGTACGCCCGGACCGATGGAGCAGTCCAGCTTTCCCGGTTGGAAGATCCGCGTGGACAACCAGATCCAGATTTGGCAGGTCAATCCCGCGCGCGGCAACATCGGTGGCAACGCAGACGCGCGCGCGGCCGTCTTTCATGGCGGCCAATGCACTGGAACGCTGTTCCTGGCTGAGTTCGCCGGAAAGAGAAACAATCGAAAAACCGCGGTTGGCGAGTCGCGACGTCAGACGGCTGACGGCTTCGCGTGTAGAACAGAAGACAATCGCCTTTTCAGCCTCATGCATTCGCAGGACGTTGATGATTGCGTTCTCTCGTTCATTCGGCGCAACAGGATGAGCGACATAATGGATGTCGCCGTGCTGCTCCCGCGCGTTGATAGTCGAGAGACGAACCGCGTCCTTCTGAAATCTCTTCGCAAGCTCCGCAATCGGCTTGGGAACGGTCGCCGAAAACATTAGCGTTCGGCGCTCCTGAGGAGCCGCGTCGAGAATAAACTCAAGATCCTCGCGGAAACCCATGTCGAGCATTTCATCGGCTTCATCGAGTACGACCGCGCGCAATTCAGACAGGTCAAGCGCGCCGCGCTCGATATGGTCACGCAAGCGGCCAGGTGTTCCGACGACGATGTGCACGCCGCGATCCAGTTGCCGCCGCTCGGTGCGCGGATCCATCCCGCCGACGCAGGACGCGGTGACGGCCCTGGCTTCTTCATAAAGCCAGGTCAGTTCTTCCTTGACCTGCAGCGCAAGCTCACGGGTCGGGGCAATCGCAAGGGCAATCGGAGCACCGGCTTTTCCAAGGTGTTCATTGTCGCGAAGGAGGGTCGGGGCGAGAGCAAGGCCGAAGGCAACCGTTTTTCCGGAACCGGTCTGGGCGGACACGAGAAGGTCCGCTTCTGCTGGTGCGTCGCTCAGAACGCTTTCCTGGACAGGCGTCAGGCTTTCATAGCCCCGCTTCGCCAACGCGGCCGACAGGGCCGGGGCGAGTGAATTCAATTCGGTCATAGAGATCTTTCAACTGCTCCGGATCATCTGCATGCCAATCAGCAGTCTACCGGATCCGCCCGGACTTCGTCGGGCGAGGATTTGCGCGGCTTATATATGCAAAAGCGGCTGTCGTCCACAGCGACCACATGACTCAATATTAGGCACAAGTGGAAGTAGTATCGATGGTTGCAAATGTGATTGGCATGAATTTAGTTGTAATTTTTAACATTAGACATAAAAGATTGTATTTTCACCCTCAGGTAGAGTGAATTTATTAACCTGCAACCATGCTAAATCCGGTCAGTTGAAGCGATGGGAGTGTCCGATGCTGAAATCGATTCGCATGCAGATCGCCCTGCTGGCGATTGTGCCGCTATTGGCCTACGGTGTTGCGACATTTATCGCGCTCAACGAGGCCTACACGGAAAGCCGGGTTGCCGCCGATATCTATCCGACGGCGCTGATGGCCGAAAAATCCGAGGCCGTGCTGCATGAATTGCAGAAGGAGCGGGGCAGGACTGCCGTTCTTCTTGCATCAGGCTACTCCGATGAGCCCAGGGCACTCCTGGACAGGCAACGCGGCGCAACCGACAAGGCGCTTGACGACCTGCGAAAGACGGTTGTTGATTTCAATGTCGGCAATCCCAAGCTTGTTGAAGAAGTCCGCGCCACTGCAAGCGGGTTGGACACCATCGCAGGGCACCGCTCCGGAATCGATGGCCGGATCCTGAACGGCAAGCAAAACCTGGAATTTTATTCAGGTAAGATTCGCGACCTGATCCTGATTATTCAGGAAGCCCAGCATGCGAGTGCGGATCCCGAATACGCCGAACAGATGACACCATTCCTGCTGCTCACCGAAGCAATCGAGGCAGGTGGGCTGGAACGTGCGCTTGGTGCTCAGCTCTTCACGATCATCGAGAAGAACGGAGAAATACCAGTTGATCGGTTTCTTGCCTATTTTGATCGCTTGTCGGTTGAAACCACGTTTCTGGAGAACTTCAAGAGTGTAGCGACGCCGGAAGAGCTCGCATCCTACAACCAGATCGTGGTGGGACCGGCTGTCAATCAGATCGCGGAGTGGCGCAGTGTTCTGCGCAAATTGCCGCAGACGCAGGACGGTCAGGGGATCGAGGGATCCGTCTGGTTCGGCAAGGCGACCGAACGCCTGAACCTGATCCGAGAGACATCGCTGGGGATGCTCAAGGCCGGAGAACTAAGAGCACAGGAGCTTGCTGCTGCCGCGATTTCCCACCTGAATTATGTAATTGCCGAAACGCTTGCTGTTATCCTTCTGACCCTTGCAATATGTGTCTGGCAGCTCCGCAGCGTCAACGGTGTCCTGGCAAACCTGACAGCCAACCTCGTGCGCATTTCCAATGGTGATATCGAGTTCAAGATGCCCTACGGCGAGCGTAGCGACGTCATTGGGGATCTCGCGCGTGCCGGTGGTGTTTTTCAGGAGAACGCGAGGGTGCGCCAGAAACTGGAGACCGAAGCTGCCAAGGAACGTGATCGCGAGCGCATGCGCCAGAATCACGTTGAGGAATTGATCAACAAGTTCAAGGATCTGATGAACAGCGTTACAGGCGAAGTTCACGAAAAGACAGGCACCATGACCGAGATTGCTGCGCGTGTCCGGTCGATCTCGCAAGAAGCATCTGGAGCTGCAACACAAGCCCGCGATGCATCCGCCTCGTCATCAAACAACGTTCAGACAGTCGCAGCCGCAGCCGAAGAGATGTCCGCCGCGATCCAGGAAATCATGAGCCAGGCCGATCGTGCCAACACTGTCATCAGCGACGCGACGGGTGTGGCGCAACGAACTGATCAGAGTGTTTCAAGCCTAGCGGAAGCGGTGGAAAAAATAGGAACCGTCGTGGAGATGATCCGGGCAATTGCCGAACAGACCAATCTCCTGGCGCTGAATGCGACCATAGAGGCCGCAAGAGCCGGTGAGGCCGGCAAGGGTTTCGCGGTGGTCGCGGCGGAGGTCAAGGAGCTTTCCACGCAAACCGCCAAGGCAACGGAGGAAATCTCAAGTCAGATTTCTTCCGTGCAGGGACTGACCGATGAAGCCGTCGGTTCCATTCGGAAGATTTCCGGTTCCATTGAGATGATCAGTGAAGTGACCAGTGCGATCACAACCGCGGTCGGTGAGCAAAGCGTTGCGACGCAGGAGATCTCGCAAAGCATCACCATGGCCGCGAGCGAGACGAGCAATGCCGTCAACAGCGCCGAAAGCGTCGATCAGGCCGTTCAGACAACTGCGGGTGAAGCTCAAATCGTCGATCGAATCTCCGGCGAGGTCAAGGACGTTGCCGATCAGATGGCAAAGGGCATCGAAGGGTTCCTTGTTGAAATGGCCCAGGATGTTGAGGAACGCCGCCGGGCCTCGCGCACGCTGGAGTCGGGTCAGACGGTAACATTGACTACTCAAGACGGGCGCGAGATTACGACCAGCCTGGTGAACAGTTCCGAAGGTGGTGTTGCAGTCACCAGCTTTGAAGGTGCCGACGTTGGAATGCGCATTACCTATGAGGACGCGTCCGGTGACAGGCACCCCATGGAAGTCAGGTGGGTGAAGGATGGTATTGCCGGACTGAAAATCAATGCGGCTGAAGACCACCTGTATGCGGCGGCTTGAATTGCAACCCCCTCCACGCAATTGAGCTAGTTCGCACAAGGCCGGGAAAGACTTGCATCGCAAGGCTTTCCCGGCTTTTCTCTGTTCATGCAGGCTTTCTCCCAGCTTCTGGACCGACTTTCCCTCGAACCGCGGCGCCTTGCGAAGGAGGCGTTGCTGGTGCGTTACTTTCAGGAAACGGCCAATCCGGATCGTGGCTACGCCCTTGCCGCACTGACTGGAGGACTTTCGTTCAAAAACGCAAAACCTGCGCTTCTTCGATCCCTGATCAGTGAACGAACAGATCCGCAGCTGTTTGCGCTATCTTATGATTTTGTCGGGGATCTTTCCGAGACAATAGCGCTGATGTGGCCCGAGGCCGGAAGGAACCGTCCTGATGTGTCCAACGGCGAATTGACGCTGGCGCAGGTCGTTACTGAATTGGAGACTGCCGGAAAAACAGACGTTCCCCGATTGTTGACGGCATGGCTTGACCGGCTGGACGAGACAGGCAGGTGGGCGTTGTTGAAACTCGTGACCGGCGGCCTGCGTGTCGGTGTCTCCTCAAGGCTTGCCAAGACATCGATTGCAAAGCTCGGCTGTCTGGATGTGTCTCAGATTGAAGAAGTCTGGCATGGATTGAAACCGCCCTATGAAACTCTGTTTGCCTGGGCTGAGGGAAAAGGCACAAGACCTGACAATCAGGATCCGGCACCGTTCCGGCCGGTCATGCTGGCGCACCCGCTGGATGAAGCCCGGGATACCGGCATGCTGGTGGCTGCGGACTACGCAGTTGAATGGAAATGGGACGGCATCCGGGTGCAGGCAGCGGCAGGGGAGACTTCAAGCGGTGAAACGGTTCGCCGCCTTTACAGCCGCACGGGCGAGGATATTTCCAGGGCGTTTCCCGATATTGTCGAGTTGCTGGATTTCAATGCCTGCATCGATGGTGAGCTTCTGATTGTTCATGATGGCAAGGTAAAACCCTTTTCCGACCTTCAAAAACGTCTGAATCGCAAGACAGCAGGACCGAAACTGATCCGGGACCATCCGGCAGCGATCCGGGCATACGATCTGCTCCAGATAGGTGACGAGGATCTGCGCGACAGGCCGTTTGTTGAGCGGCGCAAGAGATTGGAGGCATTCATTGGTACAGTTTCAGACCCGCGCATCGAGCTGTCGCCGATGGTTGAAGTGAACGGGTGGGATGAAATAGCCGCCGCACGCGCCGACCCGCACAAACTTCTCAGGTCCGACGACGCCGAAGCTGTCGAGGGACTGATGCTCAAGCAATGGGCCTCTTCATATGTCAGTGGCCGGCCGAAAGGACCCTGGTTCAAATGGAAACGCGAACCGTTTCTGGTCGACACCGTGCTCATGTATGCTCAGCGCGGACACGGAAAACGGTCTTCCTTTTACTCGGACTACACATTTGGCGTCTGGCGGCGCGGAGATGCCGGTGAGGAATTGGTGCCGGTCGGCAAAGCCTATTTTGGCTTCACCGATGAAGAACTTCGTGAAATTGACCGATTTGTCCGCAACAACACAATCAACCGTTTCGGCCCTGTGCGGGAAGTCGAACACGGCAAGGATCAAGGTCTTGTTCTGGAAGTGGCCTTCGAAGGACTGAACCGTTCGACCCGGCACAAGTCCGGCGTTGCCATGCGGTTTCCAAGAATATCCAGGTTGCGATGGGACAAGCCGCCGGCCGAAGCCGACCGGTTGGAAGCGTTGGAAGCGTTGTTGCCGGACAGTTGAGCATTGACAGGGATGAGGCGGAAAGTTTCCGCAAGCCGCGCTTTGGCCATGGATTTGTGTCACCCATCACCGCTATGAGAGTACAGCGACAGGTCTGCTGTTGAGCAAAACCCGGAGACCCACGATGACGATGCGCAAGATTACGTTCTTTTACCTCCTTGGCGCGGTAGCGGCTGTCTTGGTCTTGGCGGTACCTGCGCAAGCCCAGTCAGGAATGGCAGGCAAGGATTCCCAGGCCGTGACCGAGGGACAGCCCGAGCGGTTCTCTCTTGTTGAAGCCGACGGAGACATCCTGAGGGTCGACCGGCAAACTGGCACTGTTTCGATTTGCCGGAAACAGAACAGCTCCTGGAGATGCAACCCGGTGCCATTGGCGGAAGAAGCCTATCTTGCGGAAATCAATGAGCTGGCAGCGGAAGTTGACCGCCTGTCAGCCCGTCTTGAGCAACTGGAAGATCAGGCCGGATCTCCCGCGCCGCAAGCACCTGGTTCGACTCTGAAACGGCAGGGCCCGAAGACAGATGACGGAGACCAGACATCCAGATGGATCGAGGAGGATGAGGAGCTGGAACGGGTTCTGACCTTTACTGAAAGTGCCATGCGGCGATTTTTCGGCATGGTGCGTGACTTGCAGAAAGACTTTGACAACGACGGGAACTAGACGTGGTGCCTCAACAGGGTGTCTTCTTCGAACACGGTGTCCGGGAGACCAGTGATCAATAGCACCCACCGTAAAGCATTCACGAGCCTGTAAGATGAGGGGTCTCGCACTTGCCCCTGTATTCTGTCGCAAATTGAATTGAAGCCCAACAAGCCGCCTGGTTGCCCACGAGCGAATTCCGGGTTGAGAAGCGCAGGCAAGTTTTGGATTGCCTTGCGCCCGGTCTTAACTGTTAAACCGTTTGAGTCAGTCGATGAGCATCTTTGAAATGCTGCTGTGAGCCTCTTCCGGCAAGGCAACGGCCTTGCGCGTCGAAAGATCCATTGTCAGAGCGACAACGTCCAGGGTCGCAACCAGTCTGGTCGTACGGCTTTCAAACAAATGATGCCGCATCGAGAAAGTGTTGGCGTTGACGCTGGTAAATCCTGTTGCGACGACCACTGTGTCTCCGGATTTAACCGGTGTCGACCAGGTCAGCTTCATCTCTGCGGCGACCCGGCCATATCCGTTTTGGTTTAGATATGCATGATCCATCGGTGTGCGCTGCCAGACATGCGCGACGCCATCGGTAAAGCAGGAGAGGGCAAACTGGTCATCTGCCTTTCCATCCGGCCCGATGTTGCGCGGCAGCACCGTTCCCCTGAAGCAGATTTCCGCGCCGTGAGACAACAGTCCTGGCAACGAGGTTCGTAGTCCCGCCGGGCCGGACGGGATTCCGCGTGGCGCTGCTTCGGAAATCATGGGGGTCTGGAATTCCTTGAAACGCTGACGCAGCGATTTGGCGGAATTCGGGCTTGGTTCATATCCGTCGAGAGCGGTTGCCGCCAGGGTGCCTGTGGTTCCGTCACGCATTTCATGCACAACGGTCAACATGTGCGGACCGTCGAAGGCAACGCTGGAGTGTACAGTTATCAGATCGCCTGTGCGTAGTTCCCGGTGGTAGCGGACGTGTCTCACACGCCTTGCACCGACGATTGTTTCACTCAACCCGCACATCAAACGAAACTGGCGGTCGGCTTCTTCAAATCGGTTAAAATAAAACTGAACGTTTAGGTGATCATTTTCATCGCATTCCCAGCGATTCACAAATGAGTAAAGAGTAGCTTGAATGGTCATTCTATAACTTCGTGCGCTTAGTGATTTATTAGGCTTTTGCGAATTGGTACAAGTTCATTTGTTGCTCTCTTTTGAGATTTTATCAATAAGAAATGTAGACTGTGGAAAAAATAGTCTGGATTGATCGCGAAATATTCTCAATAGGTGAAATGCTACTGCGGAAACTTAACATTAAACCCGTAGTTGCACGTTCCGATATGAAGTTAATCTAGGTTTTATATTAAAAGGGAAGAATTGCGTGCCGGCGAAAATCTATCGCCTTGCCGTAGAGGCGCGGATGAAAAAGTGCATACATTCACCAAAAGCATTGTTTGACTTGCGCGCAACCCATGATGCAAACATACTTCAAACAAGCCGCATTACGGAACAAAAAGCCGATAGAGTCGCCTTGAAGCGCACGCTTGCAGCGGAGCGCTCGGCGAAAAAAAGGCTGGTAAGGCGGAAAAGTGACCGTTGAGGGAGGAAAAACAACGTGTCGTCGACCTCATATCGTTTTATCATCGCAGATGATCATCCTCTGTTTCGTGGAGCTCTGCGGCAAACGCTCGAAACGCAGTATCCTGATGCGTCCATAGAGGAAGCAGGGGCGCTTGAAGATGTAACGTCGCGCCTTGAAAAGGACGGCGATGCCGATCTCATCCTTCTCGATCTGACGATGCCTGGAATGCGGGGCTTTTCCGGCCTGATGTATTTGCGTGCGCAATATGCTGGCGTTCCGGTGGTTGTTGTTTCCGCGAATGAAGAGCCGCAGGCAATCCGGAGGGCAATTGAATTCGGAGCTTCTGGTTTCATACCCAAATCACACGGCATCGAAGTCATCCGTCAGGCGATTTCTGAGGTCATGTCCGGCAACATGTGGACACCACCCGATGTCGATCTGAAGGCTGACGATGGCAGTGATGATCTGGTTCAACGCTTGTCCACGCTGACACCGCAACAGGTTCGCGTTCTGATGATGTTGTCCGAAGGCCTGCTGAACAAGCAGATCGCGTATGAGCTGTCGGTGTCCGAGGCTACGGTCAAGGCTCATGTCTCTGCCATTCTGCAAAAGCTTGGTGTGGAAAGCCGAACTCAAGCCGTCATCGCCGCCTCCAAGATTGAGGCCGGGCAATGGCAGCTCGGCGGGGAGACGCAGGAAGCTGCCGGGGCGTAGCAACATCGTTCCAGCACGGGTGTCGGCACATCATCCCATACAGGCCGCAACGAAAGCGGTCCGTGCGTTGTTTATGTGCCAACTGGACCTCGGAAGCAGTCTGTTAACCTAAACGGGCATTAGCTCTAAATTCTTTAAATGTTTCAGAAATTTCCGTAATTCCGACCAGGCCTTTTACCGGAATTTCAGGGATTGCACTTACGTTCCCCCCATTGAACTGTGACGCCCACAGCGGCGAGTAGTGGATGCGGAGACGAGATGCGGCCCGGCGCCAATTGGAAATTGATCCTCCAGACGATATTGATGGCGCTAGTGTCACCCGGGACGCGCATTAGATTTGCAGCGTCGAAGACGGATGGGCAAATGGATTCCAGTCCGTCGAGGGCTCTCCTTCTTGCATTCGGTCATCCTGTCGTCGATCAGTACCTGGCCTGCAAGGTGCGGGCGGCGCAGATCGCGAGTATCGCCCGCCTGACGCCGCTCACTATTCTTGCCAACATCGTCAACGTGGTGGTCGTCACTCCTGTCCTGGCGCTGGTCCTGCCGCTTCCTTATGTTTTAGGTTGGGTGATTGCGGTGTTGAGCCTTATGGCGCTCACCGCGATAAAGTGGTTTCTCGCGAAACGTTCGCCGGTGGAACTGGCATCCCGACGAGCCCTTTCAGCAGCCTTGCGCCACGCCACCGTATTGAGTGCGCTTTGGGCCGTCGTGCCCATCGTCGCCTTTGCAAGTGGAAATTTGAACGGTATCTGGATTGCGTCCTGCATCACCACCGGGATGATTTGTGGCGGAGGGTTTGCACTTGCCACAGTACCCCAGGCCGCCTTCAGGTGGGTCGCAATCCTCTATGTGGCAACCGTTGTCGCGCTTGTCATCGATCAGGGCGTGATGATGTGGCCGCTCCTGTTTTTGCTAACCAGCTACGCTTTCGTAGTGATCGGCAGCACGACAGCGGCGGGATGGTTGTTTGCGTCTCATTTTCTCGCAGAGGCGGAGCTCGAAAAGCACAGCGAGCTGATTGCACTGCTGCTGAATGAGTTTGAGGAAACATCGAGCGACTGGATCTGGGAAGCCAACAGTGCCGGAAATTTCCGGAATGTCTCAGACCGGTTTCTGCATGCGAGCGGTCGAAGCAGATCGGAACTCCATGCCATGCGCATGGTTGATCTGGCCTACTCTCTTGATGAGGACGAAGCGCGGGATGCGGTCGCCAAACTCGAGGAAGCCATTGGCCTGCAAAAATCTTTCCGCGAGATGATCATCGGTCTGACGGTCAATGGTGAAGAACGCTGGTGGTCCCTTGCCGCAAGACCAATCTATGACGATCACGGCTCATTCGCTGGATACCGGGGGGTGGCCTCCGATATCACGGAACCTCGACGCGCCAATGCGCTTGCATCTCATCTGGCAGACCATGATTCACTGACCGGTATCGGGAACCGCAGCTGGTTCCTGAAGCAGGCTGAGAGCATGCTGGAGGAACAAGCCCGGACCGGCCAGAACACGCTGACGCTGTTTCTCATCGACCTGGACAATTTCAAGGTTGTCAACGATACGAGCGGACACCCGGCCGGCGATGAGCTTTTGCGGCAGGTTGCCGACAGGTTTACGGCCATCAGCGAGGGCAGGACCGCGTTGGCCCGTTTCGGGGGAGACGAATTCGCTGCACTTGGCCGCTTCGTCAGCGACCAGGCGGCGAGTGCTTTTGCCGAAGAGCTTGTCAGTGTGACGCGAAAACCCTTCAGGATCGGACGGCGAGACTTCGCCATCGGTTCAACGGTCGGCTTCACGCGGCTGCGCGACAAAGGGGACACGGTCGACGATCTGATGCGAAAGGCCGACATCGCCCTCTACAAGGCCAAGGAAAGTGGCCGTGGCCGGGCACTTGCTTTTGAAAGTGACATGGAGCGCGAAGTTCGCGAACGCCGGGAACTGGAAGCGGATCTGCGTGAAGCCTTCGAATACGGCAGGCTCAGTGTCGAATTCCAGCCGATTGTTGATTCCCGTTCCGGAAAAGTGGTCTCAAGCGAGGTCTTGGTTCGCTGGTTCCATCCAACGCGCGGTGAAGTTACGCCGAATACTTTCATACCCATTGCCGAACACGCCGGTCTTATCCTGCCGCTCGGAAACTGGGTTCTGCGAAAGGCATGTGCGGCGGCGGCGCAATGCCCCGAACTGGAGAGCGTCGCGGTGAACCTGTCACCGGTGCAGTTCATGGACCCCAACCTTGTGGGGCATATCACGTCCGTTCTTGATGAGACCGGATTTCCACCCGAGCGTCTTGTTCTTGAGATCACAGAATCGGTTTTTCTGCGGGACTTCGGATCAGCGCCGGACAAACTGGAAAAACTTCGCGATCTCGGTATCAAGATCTCGCTGGATGACTTCGGTACCGGCTATTCGTCGCTGTCCTACCTGCGGCAATACAAGTTCGACAAGATCAAGATCGACAAGTCTTTTGTGGACGAGATCGGAGAACGCAGCGATGGTTTGGCCATTATTTCTGCTGTGATCGCTCTTGCGCACAACCTCGGCCTTGAGGTGACTGCGGAAGGTGTTGAGCGCCAGTTTCAGGTGGAAGCCTTGCGCACCCTGGGGTGTGACACGCTGCAGGGCTATTACTTCGGCAAACCACATGCAAATCCGATGAAGATAACGCAGGTCAGTTCTGAAGACTGGGAAGACCGTAGCCCCAGTACCGCACCACAAAACTCCCTGGAGCCTCAACAGGTGCCGGGAAAAAAATCCTCCGCATCGTGAAGATTTACTCTGCCGCTTGACCAGCCTGGCATCGGGCAAGCTGCGCGCGCAACGCGGCAGGCTTGACCGGCTTGTTGAAGAAGGAGATATCCTTGTCTCCGGCTTCTGACCGCACGGGTCTGCTCCGGTCTGCGGTAATCAGGATTGCCGGAATGCTGTTTCCGAATTTCCACCTGAGTTTGACGATTGCCTCAATGCCTGTGCCCTCATCCAGATGGTAGTCGGCCAGGATGACGTCAGGCGTCAGGCCTGCCTTGTTCAGGAGCGCAGCGGCTTCATGCTCATTTGCAGCGGTGACGACTGTACAGTTCCAGCTCGACAAGAGATGGTGCATCCCGCTCAAGATGTCCGGTTCGTTGTCAATTGCCACGACGCAAAGGCCGTCCAGATTGCCGATTGCAGCAGGGGCTTGTTTGGCGGGTTCGATATCGGGAACTGCCGCTGAACGCGGTAATTCAACGGAGAAACAGGATCCCTTGTCGGCGTCCGAGCGAAGGTCGACAGGATGGTTCAGAACATGACTGATCCGTTCCACGATCGACAGGCCAAGTCCAAGGCCCTTGGCAACACGCATGCCATCATCAAGCCTGTGAAACTCTTGAAAAATGGCCTTCTGCTTGCTTTTCGGGATTCCCATTCCGGTGTCGTGGATCTCGACAAGCACACGGTTGCCACGACGCCTGCAGCCGACCAGAACCCGGCCTTCCTGCGTGTATTTCAACGCATTGGAAACCAGATTTTGCAGCAGGCGGCGTAACAGCCGGCGATCGGTTCGAATGGAAATTGACGTCGGCACGATCCTCAGTTCGAGACCCTTTTCCTGCGCGACGGGTTGAAAATCGAGCGCAAGACCACGCAAGATTTCATCCAGCCGGAATACGGTCGGCTCCGGCTTCAAGGCACCAGTGTCGAGCCGGGAAATGTCGAGCACGGCGCCTATGATGTCCTCAACCGATTCCAGTGCCGCTTCCACGTTGCGCACGAGATCGCCGTCGTCACCTTCCTTGAGTTTGTCGACCAGGACGGACGAGTAAAGTCTTGCAGCATTAAGGGGCTGCAAAATGTCATGGCCGGCAGCAGCCAGAAATCTGGTCTTGCCGATATTGGCTTCTTCTGCGGCGCGTGTGGCTTCGACGAGGCGTTCGTTGACGTGCGTGAGTTCCTCGGTTCTTTCCCTGACGCGCCGCTCGAGCGTTTCGTTAGCGCGCGCAAGTGCATCTTCTGCCATGACCCGTTCCGTGATGTCGGTATAGGTGGTGACGATTCCTCCGTCCGGCATGGGGCTGATCCGAACTTCAAACACAGTGTCACTGGATTCCAGACGCTCCTGGAAGGTTTCCTGGACGAGCACAAGCTTTTCGATCCGGTCGGCGACAATCGCTTCGACTGGCCCCGGGCCGTGTTCGCCGCGTTCTGCGTTCACGCGCAAAATCGCGTCGAGAGTGGTGCCGACCTGACCATATTCCGCAGGCAGTCCAAGAAGGTCCCTGAACTGGCGATTCCAGCAGATCAGTCGCAAATCCCGGTCGAAAACACCGATGCCTTGACGAACCTGATTGAGCGCGGTTTGCAGAAGATCGCGGTTGTACTGGATGGCAACGGATGCGTCGTCGAGAAGTTTTACTGCTCCCTTGGTCGACGGATCGTGGCGTTTGAGCATCAGCGTCAGAACCAGACGTGAAGATGCAGCGCCGATGGCGCTTGCCAGGAGCTGCTCGGAAAACCTCAGCAGATTGGCATCGGCCAGGGTGTTGGGGTCGAGCGGGATGCCTCTTTCGGTCGCGAACCGATGAAACGAACGTTCCGTGCGTTCCTCGCCAAGATAGCGGGCGACAGTCGATTGCAGGTCGCCTGCTGTCACGGAGGTTCGCCAGTATCGAAGGCTCGGCGACGGGGTGAATTCTGCGGGCACAAATACATTTGCCTGCAGCGTTTCGGCCGGCAGCGGTTTTCTGACAAAGGAGACGCCGATAAAAAGCAGGATATTGATACAAAGGCTCCAGAGCGTCCCGTGAATAAAAGGATCAGCCTCGATTCCAAAGAGCGATTGCGGGTTCAATACGCCCACGCCGAACGGACCTGTTTCCAGAAAACCGGCCGAAATCAGCCCGGATTGAGCGAAAGTCGGCAAAAGAAGAGTGTAGGCCCAAAGCACAAACCCGCCACTCAGTCCTGCCAGCGCCCCCAGAGAGGTTGCCCTGCGCCAGACAAGGGCTCCGATAAAGGCAGGCGCGAATTGCGCAATCGCGGCAAAGGACAGCAGGCCGATCGATACCAGCGCCGCGGTGTCACCGGCAGCCCGGTAATAGGCATAGGCCAGAAGAAGGATCGCAAAAATCGCCAGGCGGCGGATCGTGAGCAACTGCCGGCTCATGTCCCGTCCACTGGTATTGACCAGCTCGTCCTCACTGTGGCGGCGAAGAAGGAGCGGAACAACAATGTCGTTGGAAATCATGATTGCCAGCGCTACCGTGGCGACGATGACCATTGCGGTTGCGGCGGACAATCCGCCGATGAAGACAAACAGTGCCAGCCAGTTCTGGCCGGCATCAATCGGCAGGGCAAGAACGAAAGTATCGGGATTGATATCCTGGCCGAAGCGCAGCATTCCGGCAGCGGCAATCGGGATCACGAAGAGATTGATCAGAACAAGATAGACAGGGAACAGCCAGGTTGCCCGCCGAAGTTCGGCATCTGAGTTGTTTTCCGTGACGGTGACATGAAACTGACGCGGCAACATCAGAACTGCGAATCCGGACAGAATTGACAGGATCAGCCAGTTGCTCACGTTGATCGGCTGTTCGAATACCTCTGCCACCTCCGGAGCTTCCGTAATGGCCCGGACCAGGTCGAACGGGCCGTCGAACAGCCAATAAGTGACCCATACGCCAACGGCCAGAAAGGCAAACAACTTTACGATCGCTTCAGTTGCGATTGCCAGCATGAGGCCTTCCTGGTGTTCCGTCGCATCGATGTGACGAGTTCCGAAAGCCCAGCTGAAGATGGCCATGCCCAGTGCGATAAGCAGCGTCACGTCGTCGAAGACAGGGGTAAAGATGTCGCCGGGCGAAATCAGCGGCCCCACCATGGTCGTGACCGACAGGGAAACGGCTTTCAGCTGCAGCGCGATATAGGGGATTACGCCAATCACGGCGATCAATGTTGCGAGTGCCGCCACGGATTGGCTTTTGCCGTATCGCGCGCCGATGAAATCGGCAATCGACGTGATGCTCTCCGTCTTCGAGATCTGGACGATCCGCCGCAACAGCGGATAACCAAGTGCGAATACAAGCAGGGGGCCGATATAGATTGTCAGAAATTCCGCACCACTCCTGCTGGCGTTTCCAACCGAGCCGAAGAATGTCCAGGACGTGCAATAGACGGATAAGGAAAGTGCGTAGATGAATGGACGTCCACCGGCGCGTGATGATTTGCGGCGCGTCATCCGGTCGCCATAGCTGGCAATGGCAAACAGCAGCAGGATATAGGCCGTTGCGGTCAATATCACGATCCATCCGTGCAACATTGCGCTGTTTACTGTCCTCCCGACCCGGTTCCTGCAGCAATTTGTTTCGCCACCTTATCCAGATCGGAGCACAGCGAAACCATTCTGTCCATTCGTCTTGCGAACAATGAGCGCAAAACAGAATATCGACCGGTTTGCCAAAGGGTAACTGATCAATGTTGGTGAAGTCCTGTTCACATCGTTTCATGAAACAATTGGTTTCAAACGAGCTAAGGTGCGCGGGGAAAGCATGCGAGGAAATGTGAGTTGTCCAACCTGATCGAGCGATTGAGTGCAGGTGCACGCAACACGGCCGAAAGCGGCATTGTCGAAGTGTTCAATGCGGGCTGGCATCACGAAGCTCTGATACCTCTCTGGGCAGGTGAGGGGGATCTGCCGACGCCGGATTTCATCAACCGGGCGGTGAAGGCTTCACTCGACCGGGGGGAAACCTTTTATACCTACCAGCGCGGCATTCCCCAGTTGCGCGAAGCGTTGGCGGCTTATCATCAGGACCTGTATGGCAGGGTGTTTTCTGCTGAAAGGTTCTTCGTCACCGGATCCGGCATGCAGGCGATTCAGCTTGCCGTGCAGGCTGTCGTGGACCCCGGCAGAGAGGTGATTGTTCCGTCTCCGTCATGGCCGAATATTTCTGCTGCAGTGGAAATACATGGAGCCAGACCGGTACCGGTCCCGCTCCGCGAGGCAAACGGCGGGTGGAGCTTGCACATGGAGGAAATCGAGGCTGCGATCACACCTCACACCGCCGCACTCTTTTTGAATTCTCCGAGCAATCCGACCGGATGGACCGCATCGGAAGACCTGTTGCGCGCATTTCTGGAAATTGCCCGCAAAAATGGCCTCTGGATCATAGCTGACGAGATCTACGCCCAGTATTTTTATGGGGAGCAACCTCGGTCACCGTCGTTTTACGATATCGCGGATGAAGACGATCAGATCATTTTTGTGAATTCGTTTTCCAAGAACTGGGCAATGACAGGTTGGCGTGTCGGCTGGATCTCCGCACCGCCGATGATCGGTCAGGTTGTCGAAAACCTGATCCAGTACTCTACCTCCGGTGTCCCCGCTTTCATGCAATGGGGAGCGGTTGCGGCGTTGACGGAGGGAGAAGACTTCCTCGCATCACAAATAGAACGTGCGCGCCTTGGAAGGAACGCCGTTTTCGAAGGACTTCAGGAGACCGGTCGCATTGGCGCAAAACCGCCTGACGGCGCGTTTTATCTGTTCTTTTCCATTGATGGCGTTACCGACACGCGCCGGTTTGCGCTTGATCTTGTGCGGGAGACCGGTGTCGGTCTGGCACCCGGTTCTGCGTTTGGTCCGGGAGGTGAGAACTTTGTTCGTCTTTGCTACGCCCGCGGGCAGGATCATCTGGCCGAGGCGGTACGGCGAATTAACGCTTGGCTTCCAGAGATTTAGACATATGTTGGGTTGCTGGTCTACGTGAAACCCCTTAAACCTTGAATGGACGTGATTTCCATTTGGGTGCCGGGATGGCAGACGACAGTGTAATTGATCGCAATGCCGAAACGGCCGCTGTTTCAGAGGCGCGGCTTGCGAGTGTGTTCGATACCGCTGTCGACGGTATCATCGTCATCAATGATCGCGGTCTGGTGCTGGCCTACAACAAAGCTTGTGAGCGATTGTTCGGATACGAGGCAGCAGATCTGCTTGGACGGAACGTCAACAAGATCATGCCTCGGGAATACGCGCAGGCGCATGATCACTACGTTCAAAATTACATTGATACCGGGGAGAAGAAAATCATCGGTATCGGCCGTGAGGTGCAGGCACAGCACAAGGACGGAACGGTTTTTCCGATCGAGTTGTCCGTCGGCGAGGCCGAATCGTCCTATGGGCGCCAGTTCATCGGTATCCTGAGAGATCTTAGATCCCGCAAGCAGATCGAGGATCGGCTGGCCAAGACGCAGGCCCAATTGTTGCACATGACACGGCTCAGCGCACTCGACGAGATGGGCGCAGCAATCGCGCATGAGCTGAATCAGCCGTTGACCGCTGTCCTTTTGTACCTTCAGTCCGTATCGCGGAAAGCGAAGTCGGACGCTTCGATTGATCCACTTGTGCTGTCTGTAATCGAAAAGGCAGTCCGCGAGGCGGAACGTGCCGGTGAAATCATCCAGCGGATGCGGCAGCTGGTCGAAAAGAAGGCTCCCGAAAGACAGACGGTCGATGTTGCCGAACTCGTAAGATCCTGTCTGGAAATGGCTCAACTCGGTAGCGGTGAAAAGCAGACATTTCTTTCGGCCACGATCGAACCCGACCTACCGCCCCTGCAGGCAGATCCGGTACAGATAAGACAGATCCTGATCAACCTTTTGCGAAACGCCCGCGAAGCGGTTATTGACCAGCCAGACAAGAAAGTCAGCTTGTCGGTGATCATGAACGCAGAGTCCCTTGAGTTCAGGGTAAAGGACAACGGACCTGGCGTCCCTGCCGAACTCATTGATGGACTGTTTCGCGCTTTCACCGGTGCAAAGCACAAGGGTGTTGGACTGGGATTGGCGATCTCGCGATCAATTGCCCAGAATCACGGTGGCGATTTGAAACTTGAATCCACGCCGGACGGCTGTGGCGCATCATTTTTGTTGACGTTGCCGGTTCATCCAAGAGAGGAATCATTGGATGAAAAGCTTTAGCTTTCGCGAAGCGATGGCATAACTGAGGACTGAAAAACAATGGAAGCTGACGCAGAGGCCGTTTACATCGTCGATGATGACCCTGCGGTGCGTGATGCGCTATCCGTCCTGTTCAACATGGAAGGCTATGTTGTTGAAACCTTCTCTGACGGAGACACGTTCATTCAGTCCGCGAGCAAGTCGGTTCCGGCATGCGTCATGCTGGACGTTCATATGCCCGGCAGGTCTGGTATCGAGATCCTCAAGGCATTGAATGCCGAGAATTATCCCGCACCGATATTCATTATCTCCGGCCAGGGCGACATTCCGATGGCTGTTGAGGCAATCCGAAACGGAGCCTTCGACTTCATTGAAAAACCCTTCTCCGCGGAAACTGTTCTTGACCGTGTCAAGGAAGCGATCGCGGCGATGAAACAGCGGGAAGACGAAGACAGGTCCCAAACGTTCGAGGGAGCAGACTTGCTCACCCGCAGGGAGCTCGAAGTACTCAAGCAGATCACGGACGGGGCCTCGAACAAGGAAGCTGGCAGGACACTTGGGATAAGCCCGAGGACCGTCGAGGTTCATCGTGCCCGGATCATGGAAAAACTGGGTGCGCGCAACGCGGCGGATCTGGTCAGGATTGTGCTGGGGCATCCAGCAGCCGGTTGAAAGAGCCGATTCGCGAAAAAAGTTCCCGGCCGATCACGCAAGTTTTAGCGACAGACGTATTTCTGCGTACATTCGCAGTAGTACTTTTGACGTAAGTATATGGGGAGTTCTGGCAATGTCGCCGGCTTCCTGGGATTGTTTTGTGTGATTGTTCACATCGTTGAGGATGATGTAGCTGTTGCCGACGCGTTAGCATTTACGCTCGAACATCTGGACCATCGTCCCCGGATATATAAAGATGGCGAAACCTTCCTGGCACAGGCGAACCTGTCCGCCTGCCATTGGGTTATTGTCGATCTGGGACTTCCCGGTGTGAGTGGCGCAGAAATCGTCAAGAAATTGAAGAGCTTGGCGATACCTCCGAAAATCATTGCGATCTCGGGAAAGTCACGGGTCAAGATCCTGCGGCAAATGCGGGAAATGCAGGACCTGACCATTTTGCGCAAGCCATTGTCCATCGACATGCTGACATCCGCATTGATTTGACGCGTTTGGCAAACACCTGCGCTCACTCCGACTAATACTTTCGTTGCCTGCGTCCAATCGGCTCATATGTAGTTCCTCTTACGCAGTCGACCGAATTCCTTCAATGGATTCCAAGCTTTAGTGTAGCCCCTGCAAGTTGCGAGACGTCGGACGGGACGCCTCGGCAACAAGGGGCGGTACTTGTTTGGTTCGTATTGGCCGGTTTCGGGATCGGCGACCAGGAACAAGGACTGCCATTGCAGGCCAGGCCGCGCAGATGCGCGCAAAGGAGGGAAAATGGCTTATTTGGAAGCAAGTGTTATTGACCACGGTGCTGTCGCACGGCCCACAGGCAGAACACCATGCAGTCCCGCAAAATCAAATCTCTCCGATTTTGGTGGCAAATCGACGGCATATGAAACCCATGCCGTTGTTTACTATGAAGGCGACCCCGCCAAACGGCTTTACGAGCTGGTTCGCGGTTCGATCATGCTCTACAAACTGTTGCCGGATGGGCGTCGTCAGGTCGTGGAAGTACTGCGTCCGGGCGACATTTTCGGGCTGGCAAGCACCGACGAAAACGATTGCACCGCTGAAACGCTGACCAGCTCGATCGTGCAGGAAATCGATCTCAGGCAGGTTGAGCGATCTCAGGAACTGCAAAGTATCCTGACGAAAAGCCTGACCAGCCAGATGCACGTTCTGCATGAACATGCGGTTCTTCTTGGACGTAAATCGGCCGTCGAGCGGGTTGCCAGCTTTCTGATGCACTTGGTTCCCGATCGTGGTGGTCTGGGATGTGCAGGTCCCGAAGACGAAGAAAATGACGGCTTCGACTTGCAATTGCACATGACGCGCCAGGAAATCGCCGACTATCTGGGATTGACGATTGAAACCGTCAGCCGGGTTGTCTCCGACCTGAAGCGGCGCGGTGTCATAAGAGTGGACAAGGCTGACAAGATTCACCTCAACAAGGTCTGCAGCCTCTGCCAGATGACAGGCATTCACTGAGCGGACATCAGGAACGATCTGAAAAGGCCGCGATCATGTCGCGGCTATTTTTTGGTTCAACTGGATACTTTTCCTGCTGACGATAGAAATCGTTTCTTAGCCATGTCTCCAGTTTCATTTGAACAGACACCAATTGGCGGAGATCTGCGGAAGAATCTTAACAGTTGAAACTGCATATGAGTCTCTGGTTTCACAAGGATCGGACGCGATCGTGATGCAGATCAACTCACTACGTTTTGTGCAGTCGTCGGCACCCGACGGCAATGCGGACAAGCAATATTCAGTCCTGGCGAATGAGGAAGAATTCGTTCGCTGCGATCTTACCAGGAGAACGATCGCCAAGCCGATTGCTCTGGTCAATCTGATGGACAAATCAACGCGAACATTGTCGCCTGAAAAGAAATTTCTCAACAAACGCTGGCATCTCACCGAGAGCGAAGACCGTGAAAGCGGTATGGTCGTGGCAGATGGCGCAAGTGCGTGGCTTGCATGCGACGCCTCCGCCAACGAACTCTTCCGTGTGGTTGATCCCCGCAAATGGACAGCAAAAACCGTCGAAACCGCACTTGGCTCCTGGGCTGACAGTTATGCTGTTGTGTCACGGGATCGCTGTGTTGGTGTGGTGAGACGGGCCTTGCGGCCCGGCGAGGAAGAACCCGGCACAAGGCTGCAAAAGCTGAAAGGCCTGTTGAAACCTCGCGACTGGAAACTCGAACTTGATGAGCCGGTCTCCCGTGAGGCGGCGCATCTGATGATTGCGTCCATATTGCTTCTGGTCGAAATCACGGTTCGCGGCGCACGCGCAGGTTAACGGCGACCCTGAGCTTTGCTATACGGCGGCCGAGTGTCTTGCCTTGCCGGTCGCCTGGCTTTCGGCCAGATAGGCATCAAATGCTGCAGCTGCAAGGCGCACATACGGTCGGCCGGTCTCTGTGACGCTTACCCTCACATTGTCATTTGCGCCGAAGTCCAGCGCGACCATTCCATCCGTGATCAGGTCCTGCAAGGTGTCCAGTGCGGTCTCTAGATCCCGCAGTGACAGACCGTATCTCTCGCAGACCGGTGCGAGATCACAGGCATAGTTGGTCATAAGCTCTTCAATGATCCGGCCGCGCATCCTGTCGTCTGCCGAAAGGGCGAGGCCCTTGGAAACGGGCAACTCGCCTGCCAGTATGCTACGGCGCCAGTTGCCGACGTCCGGCATGTTCTGGATGAAGCCCCTGGACATTTTCCCGATAGATGACACACCGAAGCCGACAAGCTGTTCACCCTGGTCAGTCGTGTACCCCTGGAAGTTGCGCTTCAACGAGCCATCGGCGAGCGCAATCGCCATGCTGTCGTCGGCGCGCGCGAAATGGTCGAGACCGATTGCGACATACCCTGCATTCAGTAGCTCGGCCCTTGCCTGATCCGCAAGTTCAAGGCGCTGGGCGGCAGAAGGCAGGGCGGTCTCGTCTATCAGTCGTTGATGCTTCCGCATCCAGGGGACATGTGCATACCCAAAAAGCGCGATCCGTCCCGGTGCCAGCGAGAGCGTCTTGTCGACCGTGTCGAGAATGGTGTCACGCGACTGACCGGGCAGGCCATACATCAGGTCGAAATTGAGTGCATTTAAACCCGCTGACCGAAGGAACCTTGTTGCCTTTGCCACGATTTCATATGGCTGAACCCGGCCTATGGCCTTTTGCACGTCTGGGTCGAAGTCCTGCACACCCAGGCTGGAACGATTGATACCCACCTGTGCAAGTGTCTCAGCCAGGTCTTCCGTCACCAGTCTCGGATCAAGTTCGATCGCGTGTTCCAGGTCGGGCGACAGATCGAACCGGTCCCGCAACAGATCCGTCAGATCGATGAGACTTTGACGCGGCAACAGGCTTGGCGTGCCGCCACCCCAATGGATGTGCCGTACCGGACCAGCTTCTTTCAAGTGTTCGCTTATCAGTCCGATTTCCTGCCCGAGAGTCGCCGCATAGGTCTTTAGTGGCGCATCCTGACGGGTTGCCTTGGTGTGACAGCCGCAATAATGGCAAAGTTCCCGGCAATATGGCACATGCAGGTAAAGCGAGAGGCTGTCGTCCCGGGAAATCGCGCCGAGCCAGTCTGCATAGGTTTCAGCCGTGACACCATCGTGGAAATGCGGTGCTGTCGGGTAACTTGTGTAGCGCGGCACATTGCGCAGCGCGTAGGAGAGCGGATCGTGAGTCATGGCGGCATAATTCAATCAAGTGCCGAACGGAACCTTGATATCGCTCAAGTCCGGCTTCTGGATTTGGAGAATTTTGGTGATCGACGGGTGGGAAACAGCTCAAGAACAGGCCCGGACGCCGCGCTGCCGGCTCCATGGGGCACCGGACAACGCAAATCTGGTTGTCCGCATGATGTTGGAGGAACTGGGAGCGGAATATGACTTTGTCCACGTAGATCGCGTTGCATCGGAGCAGAAATCGGAGACCTACCGGCAACTGAACCCGCAGGGGCTGATACCGGTACTGGAATGGCCCGGACAGGATGCCCCCGTGTTCGAGACCGGAGCCATCCTGCTGATGCTTGTCGATCATCATCGCCGGCTCGCGCCTGTGCAAGAGGCACCTGAGCGCGGACGTTTCCTGAAGTGGCTTTTTTTCCTGTCCAACACGTTGCACGCCGACCTGCGCATATCATTCAAGCCGCATCGCTATTTTCCCGCCAAAGACCAGTCTGGCGTTTTCGCTGCGGCGCTGAGAAAGCGCATCGATTCCGGTTTTCAGCTTCTGGAACGCGAGCTTGTTGCAACAGGAGGCCCGTTCCTTCTTGGTCCGGATCCGGGTTGCCTTGATTTCTATGCCGCCGCCTGTGCACGCTGGGCCCAGATTTATGGTAATTGTGGGCGATGGGAGCTGGACAGTTCACCCGGGCTGCGGCGCATTTTCGAGCGCCTGGAGTGTCGGCCTGCGGTCAAAAGGGCGTGCGAGATGGAATTGATTGCAGGTGCCCCTTTTACCAAGCCGGTTCCGGTTACGCTCGCACGGGAACAAAAGCATTATGTTGATCGATGCAATCAACCATGACGACAACGATCAACCATAGTAGGTCATGACGACAATCCCGGATCAACCCAGACGGATTTCATGAATTCTGCGTTCTTCAACTCAACCCTGACCCGATTGCCCGTGACGATTCTGCTTGCGGCATTGGGGGGAGGGACGTTCTATCTGATGGGATTGCCGGCAGCGTGGTTGTCAGGCGCAATGGTTTTTGTCGCCGCCGCCACACTGGCAGGCGTTCCGACGATCATGCCGGACCCGCTTCGGGACGCTCTGTTTGTCGGCATCGGCGTCTCCATGGGAGCAGGTGTTCGCCCGGATGTGGTCGAACGCATCGGCGACTGGCCGATATCCATGGCCCTGTTGCTCGTTGTCGTTGTCTGCGTCACGCTTGCCGGATATGCCGTGCTGCATTTTGGTGCCAAATGGTCAAAGGAAACAGCCTTTTTCGGAGCCATTCCGGGAACGCTCTCCTACGTGATCGCCCTGGCTACCGATCGTGGTGCCGATCTCCCCCGTATTGCGTCCAGTCAGTCACTCAGGCTTTTTGTTCTGGTTGCGATCCTGCCTTTCGCGGTGGTGTCGACCAGCGGTACGCTCGAAGGCGAAACCGGCTTGCTGCAAGTCTCCAGCTGGTTTGAAATCATGATCGGCCTGCCCCTCTGTCTTCTAGCAAGCCTGATCGCGCTGAAGCTGAACGTGCCGGGCGGACTTATGACGGGTGCCTTTTTCATGAGCGCCGGCCTGAATGCATCGGGCGCCTGGACACTTATTTTGCCCGACTACATGGTCTTGCCTTGTTTCGTCTTGATGGGGGCCATGATCGGGTGCCGTTTCGGAAGCATGACTTTCCGGCAGTTCGTCAGCGTGCTTGGCGCGTCCGTTGCTGCGTTCAGCGCTGCATTCCTGATGTCCATTCTGGGAGCGCTGGCCATATCGTCGCTGGTGGATATCCCGTTCGGTCAGGCGCTTTTGGCCTATGCGCCGGGCGGTCTTGAGGTCATGACCCTTCTGGCATTCATGCTGGATCTTGATCCGGCCTTCGTCGCCGCGCACCAGATTGCCAGGTTTACCGGCATGGTTTTGCTGTTGCCGTTGATTACCGGACTGGTATTCGGGCGGGCAAAGCCTCGGTCATAGCGGCGATGTGACCCCCGATAATGGTGGCTGAAAAGAAATTCGGGGCGCCGGGTGTTTCACCGGCGCCCCGAAGATCGCGTGAACATGGGCTCAGGCAGCTGCCTGCAGGTTCATTTGCTCCAGCTGCATTTTGAGTTCCGCTATGTGATCCAGGTTCAGCGGGAATTGCAGGGTGGTGCAATTGTCTTCAACCATTGCAACGCGCGCTTTGATTGTCATCGAAAGTTCTTCGCATGCAAACACGACCGGAGTGCCGGGAGCCAGATTGACCTTGGCGTTGACCGTGCAGTAGGCGGACGAGATTTTCGTTGTGGTGGCATTGATGAGCTTGTCATCGATTTCCAGTGTTGCCGCCCAGTCTACATCGTAGATCCGATAGGTTTCGTCGTCACCGCGGCTACCGATCGCGTCAAGGAAGGTTTCAACTTCGTCGCCCAGAAGCACCGCCTCGTCATAGACCACTGAACTTCCATCCTGAACCAGCTTGGACGAACTTGCGGTGTCCTCGGAGTTCTGTCTCATGACGGAAACACTGTCACGCACACGTGTTGCGCTGCTGGAGACCGTTTCCATGCTCCGCGCGATTTCCGACGTTGCGCTTTCCTGCTGTGTGACCGAAGAGGCAATGCTGGTCGCGACGTCGTTGATCTCGCGCACGGTGCCATAAATCTCGCCTATGGAGTGTTCAGCGCTTTGCGCGGTCCGCTGGACAGCACCCACCTGGTTGCTGATCTCACCGGTTGCCCGTGCGGTCTGCGCGGCGAGTTCCTTGACTTCCGAGGCGACCACCGCAAAGCCCTTGCCGGCTTCCCCGGCTCTCGCGGCCTCGATTGTGGCGTTCAGGGCCAGGAGATTTGTCTGGTCGGCTATTTCGCGGATCAGGTCGACAACGCTGGTGATCTGGTCAGACGCAGTCACAAGTTCGGTGAAATTGGCCTTGGTTTCTTCCACCCGGCCGGAGGCACGTGCGGCAATCTCTGCTGAATGATCCGCGTTCCGCCGGATTTCCTGAATGGAGGAAATCAGTTCTTCCGCGGCGGAGGATACGGTTGCCACCATGGAAGACGTGTCGCTTGCTTCCTTGTCGAGTACTGTTGCCTGGGACGTCGAGTTTTCCGACGTTTCGGTCAGTGTGACGGCTGTCTCGGACATTTCGGTCGAGGAATCTGACATCCGTTTGAATATGCCGCGAATGGTATTTCCGAAAATGCCGATCATCTGGTCCAGTTCGTCGCGGCGACGGTTGGTCGTTTCGCGGTTTCTTTCCTGCTCTTCGCGCATCTTCTGGCGTTCGACCAGTCCGTCGCGGAACACGATAACCGATTGGGTCATCTCCGCGATTTCATCCTTGCCCTTGGCTTCCGGGATGATTGTGTCGAGCCGGTTGTGCGACAGGTCACTCATGGTTTTTGAAAGTCCGTTGATCGGACGGCTGATCATCCGGCCAAGAAGGATGGCAGCGCCAAGGCCGATGACAAATCCGATCGCGGTTCCGCCAAGCGAAAACATGATCGATTCGGCGGTCTGGGCGTGCACCTGTTCCTCAAGCTTGTGCTCGGCGTTGATTGCAAATTCCTTGATGAGATCGAGGTCTTTCGAGATGATTTTCGCCTCTGAGAACATCACATCATTTTCCAGATGCAAGATGTCCTTTTCCAGAACACGAAACTCCTCAAGGGCGCTCACGTAGACGTCGATCTGATGCAGGGCGTCGTCGACAAGCTTTTTGTCTTCGCCGTCCAGCTTTGCCATGGCTTCGCTCGTCAGGTCTTTTTTGACCCGCTCGACTTCCTTGAGCGCATAGTCAAGTTCACTTTCCAGTCCCGAGTAGACGAAGCGGTTGGCATGGTCCCTGGCGATCAGCAGGTGGATCATTGCATCCGTGACGAGTTCAAGCGTTTCTGCCGGCTTGCCGTTCTTGGAATCCTGTTCCTGCTTGTGTTTGAACACGGTGACGATTTCGTACTGAAGTTTGTCGCCGGCCGTGTGCAGGCTGTTGTCGACGATGTCGTGCTGCAATTCGCGTTCGTGTGCGAGTTTCTTGAAGTTTTCCCAATAGATCTCGATATGCTTTTTGGCATCCTCGAGACGCTCGATTTCTTCCGGCACGTGCAGTTTCTTGATCTTGTCTGAAATCTGCAGAACGACCTTCGTATGCGCAGCATCGACCTTCTGAAGATTTTCCTCTGTCGAATTCGCGACGAACTCAATCGCCTTGATCTCCATTTCGGAAAATGACTGCGTGATGTCGGTGGCAGCGGCCAGCGCGTTGCCGTGCTCGGTAAACTCGGTGAATTCGTGATCCAGCGTTAGGAACATCAGGGCTGACTTTCCGCCAAGGAACGCAAGGATCAGCAGCAAAACACCGAAGGCGAGCAGAAGTTTCTGCGTTATCCGCATATTATAAAACCAGGCCACGATTTTCCCCTCCGAAAGCGTGGATGAATTGGTGATCAGTTCGAGGTGAGTGAGCTCACGGTCTCGATCAGGACTTCATTGGTGAAAGGCTTTTTCAGAACTGCATCGGCGCGGGACGCCGAAAGGCTCAAGGCGTCTTGCGCCGGAATGCCCGACCCGCCGCCGGACATTGCAACTACCTTGGGTCCGCTTCCACCGGACTTGAGCGCGAAAACGACATCTGTTCCGTCAGATGCCGGCATCATGATATCGGTGATAATCAGGTCGAACTGCCTTTTGGCTGCAATTTCCAACCCCTTGTTGCCGTCGTCGGTCTCGACAACATCATGCCCTGCCTTGCGAAGTGTCGCTGCAATGGCATGCCGGACTGGCTGCATATCGTCAATCAGTAGAATCTGACACATTGGTCTGTCTCTCCCAGATCTACCGAAATACAACCCTACGTAATATTCGGTATATCTATAATAAACATACAACCAAATCCGTCGCCGTTAGGTTGTATCAGGCCGTCTTCAACTATAATTTGTCCATCAACTTTATTAATAATTTGCAAAGCGACAGACAGTCCTAAGCCAGAGCTGTTTTTACTGTTGCTTTTTGAGTAAAATGGAGAAAATACTTTCTC